CTTTGCTGATGATTAGTGATGTTTAGTGTCTTTACACTTAATAATAGGCATTTGTTTTCTTTGGGGAACTGTCCTTTCAAATCCTTTGCTCATTTTTGAATAGGACAGTTTTTTTTTTAATTGTTTTAGGAATTCTTGATATATTCTGGATATTAATCTCTTATCAGATATATTCATGTACATTTCTCCCATTCTGTGGGTTGCTCTTTTATACTGTTTTCTTCTTGAGGTACAAAAAATAAATTTTTTCATGAAGACTTGTCTATTTCTTTTATTTCCTGTGTCTTTCATGTGTAAGAAATCACAAATTTAATACCATGGAGCTATTGCCCTACATTTTCTTCCGGGAGTTTTCATTATTTTAGGCCATTGATCCATTTTAATTTTTGTATATGGTGTTAAGTAAGGGTCCATCTTCATTCTTTTGCATTAACTGGTTGTTGAAGATTGTCCTATTCCTACGGATTGGCCATGGCATCTTTGTCAAAAATCGTTTGTAACTGTGATGGTTTATTTCTGGGCTCTCTTTCCTATCTCACTTGTCTTTGTCAATCTTTATGCTAGTACCACTGTGTTTACTACCTAGTTGTTTAATGAGTCCCATCTTGATCTTTTTCAAGATTGTTTTGGCTGTTCCTTATGATTCAGCATGAATTTTAGGTTGGATTTAGTTACCACAACAACATTGTCTTCTAATCCATGAACATGGGATTTCCCATGTATTTATATTTTTATAAGATCTTTAAAAATGTCTTGTTATAGATTGCTCGCTGTAAGCAGCTCATCTGTGACCCCAGCTATGTAAAAGATCGGGTAGAAAAAGTGGGCCAGGTCATCAGAGTTATATGTATCCTCAGCCACCCCATCAAGAACACCAACGATGCCAACTCCTGTCAGATCATTATTCCACAGAACCAAGTCAATCGAAAGTCTGGTGAGTTTTGAAGACCTGCAGCTGTTGGATTGCTTTGTGTCATCCTAAATTCCTAACTTTGTGTGTTGTACCGAGAGACTTTAGTTTACATGTAGGAAACATAATGTGATCCTTTTAGATTCTAGGGATCCTGCAGCATTGTGTTGAAGTAAACTAGAAGCCCTGCTTTGGACTTGTATCCATCACTTCTGACCTCAGTTTCTTCCTCTAGAATGAATGGATTGACTAGGTGAATTCTCACAATCTCCTGGCTCTAACATGAGTGACTGTGGAGGTTTATGCTGACAAGTTCAATTGAATCCACTATATTTTTGAGCTGTGTCATCATTTGTGAACTTCTTACATTTCATTTTAGCAATGTGCTAGAAAACCGTTCAGTCTGTGATTTAGATCAGGACTTGGCTTTGAAAGTGCAGTTTTTGATTTGTTTGCTTTAACCAGTTGTTATCAACTATTTGGTGTTCCCATCTTTTGATTTAGTAGCCCTACATCTTATTTATCTAAATAATTAAGAGATATCTGTATTATGATTTTTTTCTTTTTTTCCCTTTAAGAAATCACATTGCAACTAGGTGTGGTGGTATATACCTGTAATCCCTGTGACTGGAAGGCTTGGACTGGAGGATTGCAAGTTCCAGGCCAGTCTCAGCAATTTAGTGAGGACCTGAGGAACTTAGTGAGACCCTGTTTCAAAATAAAAAGGGCTGGAGATGTGGCTCAGTGGTTAAGTACCCCTGGGTTCAATCCCCAGTAAGTAAATCACATTGCAGAACATTATCACTAGAACAAAGGGACTTGACAATCTTATTGTTCCCTAACAGGGTCTGTGAAAATGTACAAAAAAGGAGCCCAATAATTTTCTGTCTGAGAATATAGTTACTTTGAATAGTGGTATACACATCAAGATCAGAAATTGTTTATTATTGCCAACTTAAAAATAGTTTATACTGACTTGCGATTTTTAATAAAGGAGGAAATTGATATTTAATAAATCCTTTCTTAGCTATTCAAAACATTTCCAAATGTGCAGGATACAGAGTGGAAAACAACAACAACAAAAAAAAAAAAAAAAACGCAGAGTAGATAATACGGTGCTATGACAGAGCCAGAAAGGAATTTTATTTCCAAGTTTAGCAGTTCACAGCCACATCAATCCTTAATCCCTAGTAGGTTAAAAGAAATTCGGTTATTAAATATTTGCATATCCACCATGACCCAGTTTGCTTTCACATAGAACTTAAGCTTAGAAGAGCAGTAACTGAATGAAATATAGTAAAACCTGTAGGGCACTCATGTCCCAGGTTTATCCATCTCAGTTCTCGAGCTGCTATTGTTTATTTCTAGATATCTATGTTTGCATGATCTCCTCTGCACACAATGTGGCAGCGCAAGGAAAGTACATTGCCATTGTTAGTACAACTGTGGAAACCAAGGAACCTGAAAAAGAAATCAGACCAGCTTTGGAGCTCTTGGAACCAATTGAACAAAAGTGAGTGTTGTGTTCTGTCAGCTACCATCCAAACTGAGGCTTGATTTTGGTGCTATGGTAAGGTGAGCACGAGAACACAGGCAGACTCTGGCTGCTGTGTGGGCAATCTTGAAATGTCTCATCTCTACCGGTCTTCCCTTTGGTATTAAAAATTCAGGCAAAACAATGACTTGAGTGTGGGACCAACTAACTTGCCTACTTATCTATTTTTTCCCTTCAGATTTGTCAGCATCAGTGACCTTCTTGTACCAAAAGATTTGGGAAGAGAGAGCCAGGTGAGTGTGGAAATCTGAAAAGAATATTTTTAGGCTTTACTGGAACATCCCCTAAATACTTATAAATATTTGTAATTTTTATTTCCAGATCTTTATTTCCCGCACATATGATGCCACAACTCACTTTGAGACAACCTGTGATGACATTAAAGACATCTATAAGAGGATGACAGGATCTGAGTTTGATTTTGAAGAAATGAAGCGCAAGAAAAATGACATCTATGGGGAAGACTAACAGCAGTACATGTTAATACCTAATTAGGACAAATATAAAATTTGACAAATAATGCATATTGTATGAAATCAAAATTGTAAGGCCTGCTTTTGTAATCAGAATGGAGAGATTGAAGAGCATTTTACCAGTAAATACTCTTCCCCTTCATCTTTCTAATATATTAACTTGTTTTCATGGAGTGGCTATTCAGAATTGGCCAGTTACCACATTCTGTTCAATTTAACTGGACTGGCTTTTTTTTCTAGTGAAGGAGCAGTTTTAAACATTGTGATATCAATACAGAAAACTTGATACAGTATTTGTATCTTTTAATCAGGGTAGACTTTGCGTTTATGTGCTTCTGCTGCTCAAGAGCTGGATTCATAGTTTGTGTGCCATCTTGTCATTAAGGAGATTCTAAATTGAATATTCCCTATAACTACATTGTGTGTTAAGTATTATGGCAGGGCCCAAATACCATAGTCAAAAGTTTGGTTTATGTGGGCATAAACTTCTAACCAAACTCCAGACTTAGGGATTCGTTTGGAGGAAGCCAATATGTGGTGTTTTAACCTAGTAAAATTGATGAAAGAAGGGGAAAAGAACCTATCATTAAAAAGCAGGTAAAATGTGGAAGCATCTTTTGTATCCCAGGTGTGGCTTCTTCAATGGACCAAGCTGCAATGCAGTATTGATTTGACAGAGCCTCTCTTCAATGATGTCTGTTCCAAAATGGCTCCAAATGATTTCTGTACTGCAAAATAAAGCCAAACTCTGGAATCCACTGCCCTCTGTATCAGTCTGTTTGTGTCCTGATTGTGAGGGCCACAACACAGCTACTGCCTTGCCTTCAGGAGAGCCAGGAGTGGGGCTGGGACCATGGTGTAGCTTCTGATCTGGATGCATCAGAGCAGCCTATCCTCTGGCTTCGCTGTGAGTATACCTCTTATTTTATTTCTGACAAAATGACTAGATTCTTTGGTAATTTTTGTAACGGTTTAAGTACTTGTTTTAAAAAATAGTACTTGTTCCAGAAAAATATGTTTTTACCTTTAATAATATTGCTTATGGCAGCAGTTTTGTAAATTTTACTTGTGGTGCCAAAAATCAAACCCAGTGCCTCACATATGCTAGGCAAGCGCTCTACCACTGAGCCACAACCCCAGCCCATCAGCAGTTTTAATAAGTGAAATCTGCCAGGTGGAGTAGGAACTGTAGTCCATGTCATCCCTGCTTCCCAAAACACCCCAAGTCTTTATTAAGTTGCCCAGGCTAGACTTGAACTTCCTGCCTCAGCCCCCTCAAGTTGCTGGGATTACAGGCAATGTGTTACCATGTCTGGCAGATTAGTACTTTTTATGTACTCTTAAATGATAGAGCTGGCTTTCTCCTTCATAATGATAAGCCTCAATGTATATGCTGCTATTTAAGTGAAAGAGACGGAAGTGGATGATCTGGTAAAGCAAGTTAGGGTGTTACTCAGACGTCCATGTGATGACTTAGCTCAGAGTCTCTCAACTTCCAGCTGAGCCAGATCACTTTTTATTGCAGCTGCCAACAGCACCTGCCCTACAACAGCCACTGAAAGTGCCTCTTCCAGACATTTTCAGATGCTTCTAGTTGAGAATCATTGTTGATCCGTAGTTCCAGCAAGCCTTTCCCTTCATAATCTAAAATTGTGAATTTCATGCAGGAAAGGCACCAGCTGGATTAGTGATAGATGAAAAGGAACCAGTGGAACACAGAGATGATGAAAGTGCATTCTCTGGGGGAGCTCAAAGTTTATGAGAGATACTATTTTTGTTAAGTATTACAAATTATAGGAAAGGTAGCGTGGAAATAGCAGAATGGCTTCATGGGTGTTCTGAGCAAGGGGAGAGAAATGTGTGAGGTGTAACCTGTAAGGTAGTGTGCCAGGCAGATAGCATATGTTAGGTAGTGGGTGCTTAATAAATGTTACTTATTGTACCCAATATAGTTATGGTCCCTTACAGATAAGGAACTGTGTGATAGGATTCCTCTGGAAGCTAATTATTCCTGTCCCATACAAGTTTTAATTTTTGGTATAAAAGCACTGCAGAAACAGAATATTTTTTAGTTGTCTTTATTAGAAAATGAAACAAATTAGTTATAAAAACCTTTGCTCCAAATAGATACTATGTATCTTACAAATGTTGCTTGGCTTTGTGTTTTAAAGATTACTATAGAAATTATTTCTAATATCATAAATAAATGATTATTCTTCCTCAGGAGTTGATTTTATAGTGCAGTATTTACAAAAACTGAATAAGTGAAAAAACAACAGTTTATAAATCTGTACCATTCAGGACAAAATGTGTTAACTTTGTGTAGTGTTGCTTGTATAACAGCAAATAAAACCATTTAAGATTACATTTTTTTTTTTTTAAACAAGGGTAGTAAAACCTTTGGAACACCACAACATACATTTCATGTGCCTCTCTGACATTAACATGCAAAAACAAAGCTATTTGTTAAAATAGACTTATTTTTGCTCCAACTATGTAAACGTGAATTTGTTTACATTTTAAGCTCAATAGCTTTGAAGGCATTATGTTGAAAATGAAAATAATTTAAAACAATATTCAACACTGCAACCCAAGGCTAATAGCAACTCTTGTGCCACTGTGAAGTCAGATGTTTAAGCAAAATATACGAAAAAGAAAGAAGGAAAACATTCTAAGGTGTAGAACATCGATTTTTTTCAATTATGACAAACTGTGCATGTGTGTTTCAAAGTTAAAAAAAAAAAAACGGGAAAATACTAATTTGTTGTTGGCATCCTCCATGTCTAGGCAGGTGCAGGTGAATCACCTATATGAACACAAAATTGATGATAGAACAAGTGACCAAACATTTTATAAATCGGTTGTTATATCTAATTGGGCAAATTCTTATGCATCTTAAAGTTACACTGTCTTCTCTTTTGATAACCCAGGTTAACACAAGTGACAATGGACATCATTTGAGTAATTCAAAGAACACTGGTTATATCATTAGTGATAATTAGGGAAACAAAAGCAATTCCACTCCTAAATACTTTATCACATGATAATATACTGTAAAGAGCAGTTTTTGAACTGTGCCTCATAAACAGTCAGTGTCTGCTGCCAACAACTCCAACTTACATGGGAAGTTACACAGAAAGTGTTCTTACCAATAGCTACTCCTAAATGGAGCTGCTACTTTTTGTATATTTTCAATAAAATTATTTACATCTGTAACAAGGATCCCACTATTTTCAAAGACTTCTTTTGAGACAGTAGGCTTATCTGTGAATAAAAAAAAAAAATAGTGAGAAACATCAAATAGGAGAACTCTAAAAAGTCAAAAATCTCATGTACAAGTTCTCAATAACATCTTACGTACAAGGTTGGAAAAAAAGGGAAAAATGTCTGGCTCAATATTAAGAAAAAGATAAGCTGCATCCATGGGAGTGGAAGAAGGAACACTGACAACAGTGACAACTCCTGCAGCTTTTAAATAAACTTGAACCATACCCCCCCTTCTGGCCTTATGTGCATTTGTCAGAACACATCGTACTACAAGTTTGTTCCTGGCTGTTGAGGTGGAAGTTTTATCTACCTTTATCTTATTTATACACTACTGGGAAGGACATTTCTTAGAGCCAACCTATTTTGGCATTAAGTAATGGAAATTAAAACTTAGCATGTGAACTTACCTGTTAGGTAGACAGCAAATCTGGCCTCAACATGCTGAATTTGCAAGTTTATCAAACATTTCAAAATTTCTGCTTTTGTTGGAGATCGAGAGTCACAGTGGTGATAGTGAAGCAATTCGATGATATTTGCACTCTGATATGATTTCAATATTAAATTCTTTTTATGTGCAATTGAATCCATTCTGGAAAATACATAGGAATGTTAACCACTAAATTAAGATTCAGTATAAGTTTGTGACCACTTATTTACTTATTTTCAACTGTTTCACTCCTAGGACTTTTTCTTATTGCCCTTTGTTTTAACTAGGTGTTATAACTCAAACTCATGAGAGATCTAGCTCTTTGCTTCTCAAATGTTCTTTTTTATGACACAACTTGGCCTCCTAGAAGTCACTGTCCTGCGAGCTGCCTTAAAACATTACTATTGTAATGACTCTTGTAAACACAAGATTATAAATTTGGGCCTCATTCCATGCCAGAGAGACATTGTACATTTATCTACTGCCACTTCAAATTGTGTGGCCTAGAGCAAGTCTTTCATTGATTTGTAGTGGGCCTTTCTGCCTGCATTAAATATTTGTTTGCTAACAGATCTCTTAAAATGTCTATTTTTTAAAAATACACGACAACAGTGAAATGCCTTACAATCCTTATTACACATGCTCTATATCTAAAATATCTATTCTATAACCATTAACTTTGTTAAAACTATGTAGTTTTCTTACATCTCTCTCTTAAAATCCTATTCCTACCTGTTTTCTTCCTCTTTAACTTACAGGTATGATATGGCTCTTAAGAGCTTTAATGCACTTCTCTAGTTTAATGATTGAAGTTTAAAATTTCCCTTGAAACTGGTGATCAAGATTCTCTGAACCTGGTTCCATTCCCTCTGGATTGCTCAGACCTCAGAACTCTATCTGCTTTGGTAGCTCTTCTGTCAAGGGAAAACCTTTCCTGAAATTTATTATTTCTTCCTTCCTTTAAAGATTCCATACCTCATACAATTTGTTATGCTTGCTCCTACTTTGTTGGAGAAAGCAGTATGGTAAAAGAGGTAAATAAACTCACTTTGGAGCACAACATTCTGGGGTTGAAGTCCCACTTCAAACCTGATGACTTCTTGACCTTGGACTAGTTTTCCTACTTTCTAGGTGAAATTTCAAGGAGACAATGGATGTAAAGCACCTACCAGTGCTTGACATCTTCAACAATTAACAATATTTGTCCAATCAACACTTTTCTACTCTGCTTCCCAGCCCACTCTTCTTCCTGTCTCAGAAGAACTGGGAGGCATATACCTTGGATAGGTAGGAACGCCCATAGGCCTCAGAACTCTTTAGCCATGGAATCAAAGTTTTCTATGAGTAAATATCTAACCCACAAATAATTATTTTTATAATTTATGGTAGTTGAGCCAGAATCAAACTATAGAGCTTTCATGACTTCTATTAACCTAGAGAAGTGCATGGCTGGATACTGTCTACAGCTTCCATTATTGGATGTCTTGCTACAAAAACAAAATGCATCAGCTAGACATTAAAAAACCATGATCAAAGTAGCAACTCATCTGGCTGCAATGCTTGGAGGGACACTAGAGCACACAGAGCACAAGGGCATTTCTATGCCCACCAGAAAGTACTTGCCTTATGTCTTCCTTTAGCTTTTTATTTTCTCTGTAGTGAAGTAACCATTTCCATCTTCCATTTCCATTTAGTTTTTCCAGAATTTTGACAATATCCTTCAGTTGAACTGTAGAATAAGTGTGGCGAGAGATCATAAGTAAAAAATTAGATCCGTGGTTGGGTATATAACCACCATTACCACTGAAGTGGTTGGGCAGCATCCACTCTCACAAAGGCACAACTATTGCCCCTTCACCACCTATGTATACTACAGCATGAAAGAACTGTGTAGAGACAAGGGCATGGTGGTCTGCAATTAAAAGCTTGACTGGACAAGCCACACAATAGAACAGGAGGAGTCCTGTGCTGTAGGAACAAGGCAGGTCGAGTTTCATAAACACAAAAATCTACCAATAGTTTTAACCCCAGTTTCCAGGCAGAATTCATGCTTCAGCAGATAATTAATCTCATCCAGAAGTAGTATCCACATTGAATTCTAATGAGAAGATGAGTCAGGTTTGGATTACACATAAAAGTGTGTGCCATGAGAGACGTAAACTCTGTAGGAAAGTTCAAGGAGATGATTACAAAATATGACTTAACAAGTAATTATTTTTTAGCTTTCTGTGACAACCATCAGAAATGGAGAACAGGGCTGATTCTAAGCAAAAAGAATTATTATAGAACAGACTTGATTTGGCAAGTGAAGGGGTTAAATACAAAAATCTTAAATTTGTATAAATGGGAGTTTGGCCATATCAAGAAGGATCTCAGAAGCAGGTTTGGTGATAAAGATAATTAGGTAAAAACAGGTTAAGAGCACTACCATGAGAATTACTATATAAAAAGTGCTTAGTATAGTATTTGACAGGAACTAAAAACCCTCAAAAAGTGGCAAATGAAATTCTTTAGTTGATAATTTTTGCTATGATATTATTTGGGTCACTAGGTGAGGAGAAATGGACTTGACTAGATTTCAAAGGAAGGAAAATAAAAGACCAACCTAATGTTAAATGTTCTAATATTTTGTCATCTGATATCACGAAGCCTCCTGTGCGAAACAGCTCTTGATAGGTGTCGTTAACAACATCTTCAGGGCTGTCTATTCCAGCAAAGATGACACTGGGGAAATGCTTCAGTTTCAGCAGAAAAGGAATCTGTTGGACAGAAAAGGGCCCTGTGAAGAGAGGCACACTAGGCACATTTTCCTATCCAAGGGTTTCAAGGTCCAGGAACAGGTGAAAATACATTTGGACTATTGACTGGTAACCCAGTTGTGCACGAAGGACTGTTTCTAAGCTCGTCATCAGTAGCTAACTCTTAAAGTTAGTTAAATAAAGAGGTTTCAAGGGTTGGGGGAAATAATTGTTCTTGAGGGAAGGTATATCTGAGGCTTTGAGAACCTGTGAAGTAATCAGCAGATCACATAAATTCAGTCTTGTCTCCAGCTCACAGATAGGTTTCAGTATTGCCAGGCTAATGTCACTGCCTACTGACAAGCAGGATTATGCACCTAGCTATGTCCATAAGCTGGATCTTCTGAGAATAAGCAATCAGAAGGTAAATATAACAGATATTTATGACAGAAAATATTTCCAAGAGTTCAGAAAATATTTCCAAGTCCTTTAAAAGCAAGATTTATTTTTAGACATCAAATGATATAGATTTATCTCAATTCACCTCTTCATAAAAGATTCCAAACCTACCTGATGCAAATGTGATGATAAATCTTCGTTTCTGATGATGATTATTAGCTTATCATTCTCTCTGTGAAAAGCCTGACAGAAATGCTGAGGTTCAATTTCTGTATGGCCTCCTTTCCTCAGAATGTTCTGAAAGATTTACAAACAGCCATTAAAAAAGGATACTTGTGGGCTGGGGATGTGGCTCAAGTGGTAGTGCACTCGCCTGACATGCACGAGGCACTGAGTTCGATCCTCAGCACCACATCAAAATAAAACTAAAAAAATAAATATAAAAAAAGGATACTTGCACAGAACTATCTTATAGTTTATAAAAATAAGCCATCAATATCTAAAATGAACAAATAAAGCCATAAAAAGCACATCCTTTTGCTAAATTATATCTTAAAAAAGGAACAGAAAGAGCAATTGATCTTACTGTTAAATAAGCTTTTATATATATAGAAGAAATAACTCTTATCACCACAACTGGATTTAGAAATTTATTTCAAAGGTAAAGTAATTTGTAATCTTTTATTTTCCATGAAGTATCAAAAAATGGATGTTTTTAAATCTACATAAGTTTCTTCAAGGGAGTAAGATATCTTGGGGATACCAGATTAAGTGCCACCTCTAGTCAAAACATGTTAAACTTGGAAAACAAAACCTGTGCATTCCTTTAACACTAATTGGAACTGATTCAGAGTCAGTGGTCCCTTGGATCTACATCTTTGAATGTGATGGGTGATACAGTTTAAACTGCAAGTGCTTGTGAGGCACAGCTGTGATTGTTATCACAAAGAATAGCTACACTGGGTAAGGTAAGGTAAAATGTGTGTTATCAAGGAACCTCAACCCTGTCTTCCCTCCTGACTTGATCAATTTCTATCTGAAGGATTTGGGGTTTCCACTGTACATCCTTGTTATATCCAAAACACTTATGACAATCATTTGATACTTCCTCTTTAAAAATAAGAGTGTAACTTGAGTGGAAGCACGGTGGTGGCACACCTGTAATCCCAGCAGCTTGGGAGGCTGAGACAGGAGGATCCTGAGTTCAAAGCCAGCCTCAGTAAAAGCCAGGTGCTAAGCAACTCAGTGAGACCCTGTTTCTAAATAAAACACAAAATGGGGCTGGGGATGTGGCTCAGTGATTGAGTACCCCCGAGTTCAATCCCTGGTACCAAAAGAAGAAGAAGAAGAAAAAAAAAAACTAGAGTGTAACATGGACCTTTTGGCCTTTTGGGTCCCCAAACAACCGAAATATCGCCACTCAAAATGGACACAATTTTTTTTTTAAAACAAAAACCTACTGAAATAAGTATAAATTTTGTCCTTTATTTACTAATTAACAATTAGAAGGAATACATTTTCACTGAAATAATTCATGTAGCATTCTGGGCTCTTCTGTCATGCACTCTAATTTCAATAATAATAAAGTTCCTTGCAAATCCTCCTTTTACATATAAACAGAAATTAATGCTTCAGGATTGCCCACAACAGAATTATTCAGGATATATTCTGAGCTTTAATAACATCTTCTTCTTGATAGTACATTATTCAACTTTATTTTAGCATGTATCCATTTGAGGATTTTTACTTTGCAAGAAATTTATTACTTGATAACAGAATCAACAATGGCCAATCATGAAACAATGTATGCATTATAGAAGGCATGTCATCTAGAAGTACTCCTCCTATAAATAAAATGTATTAGTAAGATCTGCCTTTGGCATGAAAATCAGTATCACCTGCCCTGAAAAGGAGGTGAAAACTAAGATGATTGCTTTGTTGCTTTTGAGAAGATAAATATTTTGCTCACTGTGACAAAAACAGATACATGGTCATGATGCCAACTCAACTGATTCCCCATTCAGTACATGTCTGTCTATTTCCAGATTGCTTTGAAGACAAAACACCTTCAGAAAGGCTGAGGGTCATTCAGTATTTTATCTTTTCAATTACACTGCCTACCCAAAATGGGAAGGAACTTGGAACAGACAAGTGGGTGGGGGACACAACAAAATCAAATCCAGCAGCCATTAAGAACCTTTGAGAACAGAAGGATCCTTGGCAGGGGGGAAGGAAGAAACAAAACAGTTATGCTAAAAAACAGATCCCACAAATTTGGAAAAAAAATTTAAATAATTTGACATTTAAATGACAAAATTTAAATATAGGTGCCAATTTACAGAAAAATAAATGTGACTCGCACAACAATGTGTTCAAGTTAGCCCTGTTACCTGCGATTTTTCCCAATCTCCATCTGCTGAAGAGATCTCTCAAAAAGGTAATGTGCTGCTTATTCATCTTTTTAAAATATTTTTTCAGTGGCCACAGGATAGTCTAAACGTGTTAAAGTGACTGAGTGAGGCCTTTCCTCACATGGCCCCTTCTCAAGTATCCAAACACATTCCATCACAGTAAACTTTAGATACCAACTGTGCTGATCAGCCCCTCTCTTTCTCTGGCTCCCCAGTGCCCACACACTTCTCCACTAAAGCACTGAGACCTTTGAATCTGTCCTCTCTGGCCAGACTGCCAGCTCCTGAGCTTTGTGGTTTCTCCTCCAGGGCCTCATGTATCTATTTACCAACTTGGCACCTGAGACTAGCAGGGCAAATAAAAAACATTTATGCAGCTCAAAAAGAGGCCACTGTGCTTATCTGAACATCCTCAGATGTGGCAAAGGGGTGGGGGTGCGGGGAGTGAGTGAGTTTAAGAATTCCTTAGTGGGGGCTGGAGTTGTGGCTCAGCGGTAGAGCACTCACCTAGCACATGTGGGGCACTGGGTTCAATCCTCAGCACCTCATAAAAATAAATAAAACTATTGTGTACAACTATAAAAACTAAAAAATATTTTTTAAAAAAGAGTTCCTTAGTGATTCAATACACATGGATTTACCATGTAGCAGATACTCTATAGTTAAAAATCACAGGAAGTGATGACATGGTTAAATCAGAGACAGTTCTAGCCGAGCATTTAGAACCAATACATTTAATGTCTACCTCTCACATGGTGCAGTGGTCTGCTCAGCTCAATGCTCTGCATCAATTCCTTAGAAAAGACCTCCCCAACCAGGCCCTTCATCCTGAAAATATGGGCAAAGCACCAGCATCACTGTGTTTGCCATAGCCTTTTATCAATTTGCATGGTTCTTTTATCGGTATTTTTCTTGTCCTGTTACATTGTAAGGATCTTGACAAAAAAGACAATACTTCCCACTCTCACCAAAAATGCTGGGACTGTACATACTGAATAGGACTGCTGTCATCTGAAAGCAATTTTCTGTTACAAGGGTTGGTGGGTAGGGGAACAGCTGGTAAGTTTGGGGCCCAGCTCTGGCCAGTGCCACAAGCAAGGGTCTGATATGTCAAGAAGTCAAGACAAGGGGAACACCAAATATGAAAGGCTAGCACAAACAGTGTTGCAGGATTGGAACAAAAGCAAGAACTCATTTTTGCTTTTTATGCAGAGATGCAAATACATATCTGTGTGTACATATATAAAATTTCCTGGCTCTCTGTGCTAAGAGGTCCTAGAAGAAGTGACACTCAATGGCCTTAGTTCTAAACACAGTACTTCACTAAAAATGACTCTGGCTCCTTAGAGAAACTGCTGACTTCAATGCTGGGGCAGAGTAAACATAAGACAAACCTGGAACATAAGGCTGCACCACAAAGTAAGAAAGTGCACAAATAATTACTGAAGACTTATCAAGAGGACACAGAAACCAGCTTATGGGAACTCCCATTGGTGGGCCTGAGTACTAAAATAATGAAGGAGAGGCTGGGATTGTGGCTCAGTGGTAGAGTGCTCACCTAGCATGTTCAAGGCCCTGGGTTTGATCCTCAGCACCACTTAAAAAAAGCAAATAAATAAAATAAAGGTATTGTGTCCAACTACAACTAAAAAATAAATATTTAAAAATAAATTAATAAAATAATGAAGGAACAGACAGTAATCCTTTTAGTATAAAGTGGTCCAATAGGCCACATTGATATATGAAAGCAAATGAATGAACAAACAAATGGGAAAGAAGGAAAAGGTCTACTATGCAGAATGCCAACTAATACATGTAGAAGGAATGACAGAATTAGAATACCACCAGGTGGTAAGCAACCATCAGAGTAGTAACTGATTCAGGCAAGAATCATCAATGGATGTTAAATGGGGTGGGTGAAGGTATGATGAGAAAGTGAATTATTTACAAAGTGTCAATGCTTATTATTACAATCTGCCTAGTTAACTGTACAACAGAGAAATGTGACAGATCATTTTAACTATGTAGGAAAGCTATTACATTAGTAAAGGCACAAACTGCTTTCTAATACAATGCACTGAGAAGATCACAATATTGGATTTGGATTTTCTTGTCTTAAATGCTTAAATCATGTGGACACAACAAATAAATGCAATCAGAGGAAATTCTATCAAATAACTAGCTTTAAAGTCTTTAAAGCCAAGGCCATAAAAGATAAAGAACAAGACAGGAACTGTTTCAGATTAAAGACACAAGCATACACCTGTGATCCTACAATGGGTCTGTGGAATAGATGGCTAACTTCCCAAGTTTTAGGGTCGTACTGTGATTATACAGAAGAATACCCTGTACTCCGATACATAAATTAAATATCAAGGGGTAACAGAACACTGTATGCCATTTTCAAATGGTTCAGAAATATTAATACTGCAGTATTTAGGTGAAGAGTACTATTTCTATAATCTTCATGTAAACTTTTGAAATTGTTTAAAAAATAAATGGTGTCAACATGTCAGTTTGAAGAGAGATAATAAGTTCTGAAAGAATAAAATGAAAAACTTAATGGTAATCAAGACAGATTCTGGCTCCTTCCAAGTCAGAATTTTACCATTATATTACTTAAATTAAAGGACTATGTAGTTACAGGTATCCTTATGATCAAATTTAAAAAGATATCCTGTGGGGCTGGGGATGTAGCTCAGTGGTAGAGTGCTTGCCTCACAGGCCCTGGGTTCGATCCTCAGAGGAGGGAGGGAGGGAGGGAGGAAGGAAATTGTGTCCATCTACAACTAAGAAAATATTAAAAAAAAAAAAAAAAAAAAAAGACATCCTAAACCAAAAGAAGTTTTTGTCAATGATCCATACTATTAAGAGTATGGAAACACAGGTAATAATTTCTGAAAAACCCATTGGAAATGTTTGTATATACATTTGAACATGGGTTTGTGTACACTGGTAACATGTGAAAATTAGTCTTTGCACCAATTTTTTAATATCATACAAATCATCAAATATTCTTGTAGAAAAACATTTAGTTTTCCGATAAAGACTAAGCTATGAAACCTAAAAAAAAAACCCACCTCATACCATGATTTCTCTTTGAAACCAAAACATTATTTTGAACACTAGTTCTAAAATAAACTAAAATTAGAAGGCAATCAATAACACAATGTGTTAAGAATAAGCTGACAACTTTACCTTTGTTCTTAAAAAGAATGATTTTTCTTCCGTTTCAACAAGGTAGAACAGGAAGGGACTCTTACAAGCTTCTTTCATAACGCTTTTTAGTTTGACATGCAAGCTGGCACACAAGTCTGTAATCATGTCTTCGTAGGAGGCTGACTGTCTTGGAAAAGATGGATACATGTCTTGGGACATGGTTTCTCCAGAAGCCATATTTAACTCTTTATCCTGTAAAACAACTTGGTTGCTATTCATCATCACCTTATTGAATTCAGCATATTCATTGAGAATAAGTGAAATATCATTCCGAGATTCTTTCAAAGTGCTATTATATTTCAGTTTGTTGAGGTGAAATGAAACACTCTGATTCTTTCGAGAATTCATAAGATTTCTGTTGTGACTACATCTCTCCTTCCAAAAGGAGTAAGTGCTGTCCATATGGTTGGGTGTGTGGCCTCTTCTGTGCTGACTCGGCTGTCTGGCATCTGGATGCATAATTGTTACCAAAATGGGGCTTCTGCTCTTGGATGCAGGATGCAGAACTGGGGCCTTGGATATTTTTGTCAAAGGTGAAGTTCCAACCATGGTTTGGGTAGGTGACTCCTTTGGAAAGATGTTGGGGGAAGAGGCAGGCTTCTGAGAATCCCCCTTTTTCTTTACTATTTGTTTAATTTTATGTGCAAAACGCAGATATTCCAGATCTAATGTGTTTTGGGTGAGGTCATCTGCCACTTGCCAAGTGCTTGTCCAGGAGCTGAGCAGGCTGCAGTTTGCAGCAAAACTTGATTGCCTCTTCAGGCTATGCAAAGTTCTAGATGTATCTTTGAATTCTTTTGTTATAGTAAAGTTAGCATAGGTCCGGGGGATACCATGGAGATCTCGAATTTGGACATAACATGGCACACACTTATCTTCTTGCTTTAATCCAATGGACCTGTTTCTTGAAGGAATGCTAGTCTCCAGCTCTGGAACTCTATTATAACTCCAAGCTTCATTATCACTACTGTTTGAGTTCATGGAAGATCCATAACTATTTTTTGCAACATCCTCTTTTTTGCTAGTGTGACTACTTCTCAAAGTGCATGAATCTTCCATGTCTAATTTGGGATTTCTACAGTCATCAAGAAAGTCTTGATCAGAGTCTCCAGAAAGTGGTTCGTAATGCATGTCTGAATTCACCCTCATCTCTCTCTCTCCAACCTGAGTTTCAAAATCAGTCTCAGCCCTGTATTCCTCACTAGGGATCTTACTGTCAATATGCTCTTTAGAAATTCCACAAACAAGAGAGTCAGAGGAAGCGGAAGTCTCTTTACTGATACTTTCACTGTTGTCTGCTGCATTCTGGTTTGAACCAGCATACATGGGAAAAAATCCACCATTCAACAGCTCCTTTATCTCACATGTTGCTGTATCCTGCGACATGTGGATTTTTTGTTCACCTTTCGTTGAAGATGTAGAGTTAGACTGAAGGCTGATAGTACCTAGATCTGTACTTTCTTCACGTGATTCAGCTTTAGTCTCACTATTTTTAAGTAAATTGGCCATTCTGACTACTGATATTTCCTGTGTTTGAAACCCTGACTCCACACTTCCTGGTTGTGTACAATGGGTGAATGTAGTGCTATCTGAGGAAGAACCAAGCTTTGGGCTCTCTGGGGGCATGTATGTCTGTGTAACAGCAGCTCTATCAATGGAGGCAGAGTCCATGGACTTTACCTGCATGTACCCTCCAGCATCTGTTTCCAAATCACTGTCAAAAAGATTTTTTGTAATGCTTTTAGGGTTGGTCTTTTGTTTTAATGACACATTTACTATTCCACTTAGAGCAGTTGTAGAAATCAATCTGTCAGCCAAAGACTTATTTTCAACAATCTTTTTAGGACTAAATGGAGGTTCACTGGACTCTAAGGCAAGATGTTTTAGGTCCAAATTTCTGTTCTCTATACTAATTGGCTGCAGTGGATTTCCTGATTTTACCAGTTTTTCGACAGAAGGCTTGAAGTTACCTCTGTATCTGGCAGCTGAGGCAGACTTGGCTAAAGCTGCATCACAGCACTGCACCTTTTCTGAGAAAGAGAAATCCTCATTATGCTCATTTGGGACAGTTCCCTCAGTTACTTTACCAGGAAGGATTGGTCTACCTTTTCTTCCTGGATTATTGGTTAACATAGGCATTTCAGCAGAAAGCTGAGTTTGTTGTACCTGAGTTAAGTCACTTTGTCCCACTGGATGGTTAGGACTAACAAAAGAATTTTCTTTTTCTGTTACAGCTAAATCTCCTGAACCAATCTGGGACAATTTGTTACTTTTCTCACACTGGATACCATGAACTTCTAAACTACATGGAGACACAGCCTGAGAAGGTTGTGTTTCTTTGGTTGGTACTGGGGGATCGGGACTAGAAGGTGGTGACACTTCTTCAATTAGAGAATCAAAGGGGAAATCAGAAGTAACGTTAATTTCCTCTGCAATCTCAAGGGTGCAATTTTCTTTAGAAAGTATTAAAGTAACCGGCTGTAAACTATCACTTTTTCTTTCCTTATTTTCTAGTGGTTCTTCTGATACCACAGGACACACTGACATATAATTAGCTGAACTAATTTCTCTGTTTTCCACAAGGGTTACTTCTTCTGGCTCAACTATTTCTTCAGCTGTATCCTGAAGTTCTAAATTTGACACTGGGGTCTTCTGAAGTTGCTCTATTTCAACAGTTGCCATTTCTTCTTTGGGACTTGTAGGTGATGATATTGTCAGAGTTAGGTCAATATCAGAATCTTCCTCTGACAATTCCAGACTGGTCTCTTCCCTACCCATAGATGGGCTAATTTGTTGGGCAAATACCGAAGTAAATGATTCCACATTTGTATTTTCATGATTTAGATTACTCTTGTCATTCTTCCTTATTTCTAAAGAGCTATCTGACATAGTAATTCTTGGTGTAATACAGTTAAGGGAACACCCTTTTCCCAAGGTGGCTGAGGCTGATGACGAGACTACTTCAACCTGGGATGGCTCTATAATCTCTTCTGAAGATATGCTAAAGACACGTTGAGTCTGCAAACTGCAATCTTGAGAGCCTTTCATTTCTTCACTGGGTAATGTATAACTAGAACTTTTGATTAATGCTAATGCTTCCATTATTGATGCTTTATTGGATGGTGATGATGAGACTGGAAGAGGCTTCTCTTTCTGTAATGAACACAGTTCTTGAGCAAGTGTCTCTCTATTAACTGAGGAGGCACAAAAGTGGTTAGTGGCTTTCTGTCCTGACACTGCAAGAGATGGAATATCCCTAAGACCTTGTGTTTGTACTTTTTCCAATGCAGATATGGGATGTCTAGGACTTGCAGGAGGAGACACTTGTTTCATCAGCTCTGTATCAAAGGCTGTGGGTTTATCAGGTCTATTTACTTCTGAATATATTGGTACACAGGCATTTTTTTCAAAAGTGGGAGTAACTGGTTCCAGATTAATCATCACATACCCCATATTATCATCCGTCCTTTCCAAGGAAGACTGACATTCATTGTTTATGGGGCTGCTATGCTGGGTAAGGTCCTGTAAAGTACCCGTTTTTGTCTGCACTGATGCATGACCTACATCAACTTTGTTTTCAAGGGTGTCGTATGCAGACTTTTGACATACTATCGAATGACTATTGGCCCCACTGTAAGTTGTGGTGAATGTGGCTTGTGTAACTGTATCATTATAAGAAGCCACTCTAGTATTATCATGTAACTGAAAGGTTTTTTCTTCACCAGAAATAGAAGATCCATTAGTTTCAATACTTTCAATACCAGAAAGCACAAGATTAGAAGTCTCTAGATCTGATGATTCTTGTTTGGCTTTCTCTCCAATTACCTGAAATGACAAAAATTAAAGTAAATACATAAATAAATATCAAACAGATTTGTAAAAAATATTTATTCTTTAGTTGTAGTTGGACACAATACCTTTATTTTATTTATTTTTATGTGGTGCTGAGGATTGAACCCAGGGCCTCGCACATGCGAGGCGAATACTCTGGCTGAGCCACAACCCTAGCCCTCAAATAGATTTTTTAAAAAACACAATTACATATGTTTAGAATAGAAAAGTCAAGGACCAATTTTCTTTAGTCTGTGTCTGTTATTTTGAATTTTCTAACATATAAGATTACCACAGGGTAATGATCAAGAAAATCCATCTCTTTTTAGATCTTAAGCTTAAAATACCATCAAATGTGGGTTGTTTTTATTTTTTCTTTTTCACTGAGCTCCACCCCCCAGAGAAGAATTTTTTTTCTTTAAAAGTATATATAGCTGGGTATGGTGGCACACGCCTATAATCCCAGCAACTCGGGAGGCTGAGATAGCAGGATTGCGAGTTCAAAGCAAGCCTCAGCAATGGCGAGGCACTAAAGCAACTTAGTGAGACCCTGTCGCTAAACGAAATATGAAATACGGCTGGGGATGTGGCTCAGTGGTTAAGTGTTCCTGAGTTCAACCCCTGATACCCCCCAAAGAAGTATACAGAGATGAGAACTCCAAAACTTTAATTGTATAGCCTTTAATTATTATTTTTGGCACCAGGGATTGAACCGAGATACACTTAACCACTGAGCACATCCCCAGCCCTTTTTTATAATTTATTTAGAGACAGAGTTTTACTAAGTTGCTTTAGGGTCTCCTTAAGTTGCTGAGGCTGGCTTTGAACTTGTGATCCTCCTGCCTCAGCCTCACAAGCCACTGGGATTACAGGTGTGCATCACAACACCCAGCTTTATTATTTTTTAAAAATAACCCTTTTGGGGCTGGGGTTGTGGCTCAGTGGTAGAGCACTTGCCTTGCATGTGCAGGGCCCTGGGTTTGATCCTCAGCACCACATAAAAATAAACAAACGAAACAGAGGTATTGTGTCCAACTACAACTAAAATATATATATAAAAAATAAATAAATAAAATGACCCATTTGGAGGAAAAGTAGCTAGACCATCCTGTTTGCCAAACAGCATCACTCAACTCAGAAATATAGCACTAAAGAAAAAGCACTCAATTTTGCTCTTAATGAGATATTAAAAAATAACTTTTTAAAAATTTTTCATGTACTGATCACTGAACCCAGGGCTTTTAAGCATACTAGGAAAGTGCTCTACCACTGAGCTACATTCCCAGCCTAATTTTTTTTTTCCCCTAAATAGATGTCTTTAAAATTTTGAGATAGGACTTTGCTCTTTTTGGGGGCCTTGCCTTAAAATTGTGATCCTCCTGCATCAGCCTCTCCAACTGTTGGGATTATAGGAGTAATCCACTGTACCTAGCAAAAGGTAACTTTGAAAGCTAAGAATAACTTTTCTTATCAGTTTTAAATTAGACTGTAAATACAACTTCATTTGGAACTTTCACATGAGACAGAGTAAATTAATTATTATCCCCCATACTCCAAATAACTGATTCTGGTAAATAAAGGTCCCTCACCCCTGAGATATCTTCTTTGCTTAAACCTGAGGATAATTCTCACTTTAATACCTCTTATTCCACAGAGCAACAGGGAATTTATCAATGTTGTTTGCATTTATAAACTAAAGGGAATGATTTAAACCATAGAAAGAACAACTTGGGTAAAATATTTGCAGAACTACGTCAAGACAATTCTTATTACTCCATAAAGACATTGTTTTGTTCTGTTGAAAGCCTCCAGAATAGTCTTACCTAGTATATGGTAAAAGGGACTTATTTACGTAATTTACCATACCTCTGAAACGTTTGGACCATTATGCTCACTGATTGCCTACCATGTCTTGGCACACATATGTTTGGAGTCAGGAACCGTGTTTCAAAACACACACACACACACACACACACACACATATGAATATATGACTATAAGTATATAATGTCTCTACAATAAAGTATGATGATTTAAAGTGCTCTTTAGATGAATAAAAGCAATATACTATTGGTTTCTAGTACCTACTGTGCTACAATACATTTCACATCCCACTGTACCCACTTATGAGGATGGAGTGGCATAACACAAGTGTCCTTTACTGGTGCAGCCACAATATCCAACAAGATGACCCCCCAAAAAAAGAAGAAGAAGAAAAAAAAAACTTCTGCAAGGAGAGCCTAAGCATCCTTAGTCTAGAATGTTCTGAAATCTAAAACTTTGAATACTGTTATGACACTCAAAAAGTTTTGGATTTTTAGACTATTTCAGATTTGGGGTTTTCAGATTAGAGATGTTCAACCAGTAAAGTCTGCACATATTCCAAAGTCTGAAATTCTGTCAAATCTGAAATACTCTGGCCCAATCATTTTGGATAAAGGATATGTGCAACCTGTAGATATTAGAGATCATAGTAAAAAGTATAGAATAGACAAATAGAGACAAACCCACATGAATATGGTTATGTCATACCAGACAAAGGTGCCTAAAACATTCACTGGAGAAAAGATAGCCTATTCAACAATGGTGCTGGCAAAACTGGAAATCCATATGTAGCAAAATGAAATTAAAACTCTATCTCTTACCCTGCGCAAAAATCATTTCATAGTGGATTAAAGACTTAGGCACTAGAACAGAAACCCGGCGCCTAATAGAAGAAAAAACAGGCCCAAATCTTCACCATGTCGGCCTAGGATCTGACTTCCTTAACAAGACTCTTAAAGCGCAAGAAGTAAAACCAAGAATTAATAAATGGGATGGATTCAAATTAAAAAGCTTCTTCTCAGCAAAGGAAACAATTAATAAAGTGAAGAGAGAGCCTACAGATTTGGGAGAAAATGTTTACCACATGCACCCCCGAAAAGCATTAATCTCTAGGATATTAAAAAAAACTCAAAAAACTTAACACCAAAAAAACCAAATAACCCAATCAATAAATGGGCTAAGGAAGTGAACAGACACTTCACAGAAGAAGAAATACAATCGATCAACAAATGTATGAAAAAGTGTTCAACATCTCTAACAATTAGAGAAATGCAAATCAAAACTACTCTAAGATTTCATCTCACTCCTGTCAGAATAGCAATCATCAAGAATACAGGCAACAATAAATGTTGGCAAGGATATGGGGAAAAAGGTACACTTATACGTTGCTGATGGGACTGCAAATTGGTACAACCACTATGGAAAGCAGTATGGAGATTCCTCACAAAACTGGGAATGGAAGGAATCACCACTTGACCTAGCTATCCCAATCCTGATTTACATCCAAAGGTCTTAAAATCAGCATACTATAGTGACGCAGCCACATCAATGTTTATAGCAGCTCAATTCACAATAGCTAGACTATGGAGCCAACCTAAGTGTCTCTCAATTGATGAATGGATAAAGAAAATGTGGTACATATACTCAATGGAATATTACTTAGCTTTAAAGAAGAGTAAAATTATGGCATTTGCCAGTAAATGGTTGGAGTTGGAGAATATCATGCTAAGCGAAATAAGCCAATCCCAAAAAACCAAAGGCCAAATGTTTTCTCTAACATGCAGATGCTAATTCACAATAAGTGGGAGAGGGGGCACTAGGGAAAAATAGCATTACCTTAGATTACATAGAGGGAAGTGATGGGAGGGAAGGGGAGGGGATGTGGGGTTAGGAAAGACAGTAGAATGAAACTAACATTACTACTGCATGTATATATGTGACTCCATGATCAATGATTCTGCAACATGTACACTAAAAAAAAAAGAAAATGAGAAATTATATCCCGTCTATGTATATCAAAGTACATAAATACATTCTACTATCATGTATAATTAAAATATGAAAAAAGTACTATATATGAAATTAGTGTGTATATAGGTAGTAAAAGAATTTCACCTAACTGAAAATATTTTCTCATAAGGTAATAAGAATCAGATAAAAATTCCTGAACCACATCTTCAGAAAGAAAGCACACACATACCTAATACACACACACACACACGCGCACACACACATAAATATACCCATGTAATTTGTAGGTTGTCTGGAATCGAATCTTGGCTTGACAATTTACTATGCAACTTGAGGCAATTTTCTTACTTCTCTATGTCTTAAGTTTCCTTTATCTACAGGATGTTGGATTAATCATTGTCTTTACCTCACTGGTTTGTTCTGAGACCGGTTAACTGAGTTAATGTCAGAGAAATACTATCTGGCACACAGTGCTCCAGAAACCTTAACTCTGATGATGATGATAATGACGATGATTTAAAGATATTCATCCTCTGAGGTTTACCATGGACCTGCAAGTGTTCAGTAACCTCAGATACAGAAACACTACCTGCCTCCTAAGTGCTGCCCAAACCCATGCAAAATTATTCCAGAACAAATCTGGGTATTTTGTCAATCTATTTAGTCAGAATTTTGTTACAACATTTTGACTGGTTCCAGTTAGAATCTGGCTGAGCATTAGCTGAAAACAATGGTACAAAAGAAAGTTTGTTTTCCATTCTTAGAAATCATCAACTGCAATGGTTTTCCTCTCACAGGCCTAGCTAATATTTTACTATTAAATTATTTATCTTCAAAATTAATTCTGATATAATCAAATCTAGTTTAAGGTTTAACAAAGCATTTCTAATGTTTATTACTAACGTATCATTCTTAATATCTAGATAAGACAAGTATTAGCAAGCAAAAAATGGAGGAAATTACTTCAAAAATAATGCCAACATTAGTAATATTCAGTTTTTCTTACCTCATTATTACAGGAATAGATGAAATTCTGGCTTTCTAAGGTGTCTGTATGACACTCTCTTGCAAAAGTTTCTTTCTGTTCATTCTGTACACTGAGTTCCAAACCTCTGGCAGGTGGTGGTTTAATCAAAGGAAGCAAGCAGTTAGGGCCAGGGAAGAACATTTCTGTAGCATGACCTCTGGATGTTTCATTCGACTCCAACATAGGTTCTACAGAACATCTTTCCACACTGGAGGACTCCTCAATTTCACTGAGTTCAAAAGATTCTAAAGTGCTATTTATGGACACATACTTTGCTGGGTTGCTGTGCTCTACCACTTTTCGGGATGATCGTCTGACTTTGTTCTGATTACTGTAAAACAGAGCTACCCACATGTGAAGTAAAAGCTTCACTTCTTCCACATTATCAGGCAAATTAGTGTTCCAGGGCCTGAGATTTAAAAGAACACACAAAAAATAACTGAAATTGTTATTTGATTTACTTATCATAAACAAATGCCTCCATAAGAACTATAGTTTTGTTTGTTTTTATTTTAAAAATTACACAGATATGAAAGAATGAGTAAATATGAAGTTGATTTAACAAACCCCTTTGAAATCTACTCTAATTTAAATCTAACCCATTTTAAAGAGAAGGGAAGTGAGAACATTTAAGTGAGTTTTTTCAAATCACAACATTGTGTGGCAGAACTCTGATCCAAACATAGCTAATTCCTAGTTTCCTAAGTATACACAAACATGGGTAAGGAAAGAAGTCTGATACATGCAAAGTCCATTTAGTCACATGTGAACTGAAAGAAAACATTATACCTAATGCTTCTAACAGCGATGTTAGTATATTTGTTACCATTTATCATGATGGCCCAGTCACTGTGCAAAAGCCCAATATGTGTAACAACCTCAGTAGGTAGCTACTGCTAAACCCATGCTTACAAGTGTTACCCACACACTGTCATCCTTCAATGACATCACTTGCAAATCTATTAGAAATGCCACCTCTCAGGCCTCACCCCAAAGTGAGATCTGTAAATGAGCTACATACACAATAAAGATTGTAAGCACTGTCTAGAAGCACAAAACTTGCTTAGGGTCACAGGAGGTAATAAATGGAAAGAACTTAGATGCAAGCCTACTAGTCTAAAATCTAACCATTCTGTTATTATTCCGTTGAAACATTCTTAAGATTTCTAGAACAAACCTATGTAAAAATCACTCATTTATATCAATCTGATTATTTCTAAGAAGTAATTTTTAATACTTAACAATTTTAAAAATGTCTCTTCTGGAATTTAGCCTAAAAAGCATGATTTCTATGTCTTATACTGTTTTACATAAAGGTCTCATCTAAAAACCTATAATAACTCAAAGACTACAAGTGGTGATGGAGTACTGCAAAATGGAAAGCCATTTATGGGGCTAAAGGTATTTTTAAATACTCTCCATGTAATCACCAATACAGGCAAAGCCTGCCTGTTACTCTAAACTCAGTAAACAAATCTGCTTGGTATTATTACCAAATAACTGGTTTTAAACACATTTCTTTCTCTTTGCAAAGACTGGCACAAATATCTTGTGTAACTCAACAGAAAAGTTACAATCATTTTTTTCAAGTTTCATTCACACTTACCCATGCAATGCTCTTATAACAGTTTTCTCCAGTGGATTGTTAGTATATTTGCTATCTAAGTTGAATGAATATTCTGTTTCACATTTGAAAGTGACTTTAAAGGAGCCATCACAGCTAAGCACACTATGGGAGCAATAAAAATCTTTTAGGTGGGAAGATACAAATCGATTTTTGCACTTTATCAATGAATCCTCAGAAACCTTTTGTAGAGGGGAAGTATTCTGTAGATGCCGAAAAGGCATGACTTTTCCCACTGGAGTTCCAGCATCAGGACCTTTTGTCCCATTCTTGGCAAAAGCAGGGCCTGGTAACCCTCTCGGCTGCAGATGTTTCTTTGAATGTTCCACAAGGAGCAGGGCATATGAATGTTCCACAGCAACAAGCGAGTTTTGGCTTGCATCTGAAGATTTTACTGTTTCCTCAGGGGATGCTGACTGGGCTTCCTCAGGGGCCTGACAAGGTATCAAGCACTCGTCTTCCTGGCTAACAGTTAAGTCTGACCCTGAGTTACTCTTTCTATCAGAGGACAGTTTGGATAACAGTACACCTTTTTGACTTTTAATGCCCCTATGATATTCATGGTCCGAGGTACCATGCAATGAATTTTCTTTAGAGAGTAAAACATCATTCTGTGGCAATTCAGAGGAGCAGGGAAGAATTCTAGGCTCACAAGATGGGGTACAAGAGGTAGCAGAACTTAATGCAAGATCAGCTAACATATTTAGGGCCTGGGAGTCATAGTTCATAATGGAGTTTTCAGGAAGATCTTTATGAGCCACTGTGGTGCTTTCTGGTTGATCTGTATTTATACTAATTCCATCTTTTTGGCCATCTGATGAAATTTTTGATTGAAGCTGAAAAGCAGTTTCTCCCTTAGCTTCAGCATAAAAGGAAAAAAAAAAAAAAAAAGGGGGACACATATAACATTTCCTTTTCATAGAATTCTGTCGCATATTACTATGTTTTAATGAAAATTAATGGTACTAATGGTTAAGCCAACATATCCAAGAAAAACTATATTATACAGATTGCATATTAAAAGTTTGCTATCAGACTGAGGTCTCTTTCAATCCTCAGATCTATTTTAATGTGTTGCTCAATGGAACAAAATTTAAAGAACATTTAATTTTTAAAAAAAATAATCACTCCAAAATGCATGTATTAAATAACACACAAGATGTACTGCTTACATCAAGAAATATACAAAGAAGAAAAAGAAAACTTTCAGTCCTTGCCCTCAGGGGGCTTACAATCTAATGAGGATGTAAGAATGTGGAAGTATGAAATGTGTGTTAAGGTCAGATAATACACTTTCTCAGAAACCATTTCCCTTAATAAGTGGTTTATTAAAGAAGCCACCTAAGTTCACAACAGCGATGATTTTAAACTATATTATCTTTAATTATAAAATGTAATATGAATATAAAATTAGAAAAGTCATAATATGAATAAAATAAATCAACGAAGGCAGAGTATTCAGAATCACCAATTAATTTTATCATTTCTTATACTTTCAGTCATGAACACATTATCCCTTTATCTGCAAAAAAAAAAGCAAATATACTGAAAATTTTTCTTTCTGTAGATAATGAAATCTCTCCATTTCCCCTTAATCATAAAATTTACAATTTAGAGTGGTTTGTTTATGCATTTTCAGGCCACTACTTAATCATTCTTTTACATGTTGTTCTGAAGGATAAAGTTCACAACTATTCCAGGCAATGATTCCCTGGTGCAGGTAAATGAATGAACAGAAAAGCCAACTGTGCTTATAATTAACTGTAGTACTTCTGAAAACAATTGATAACATAACTTCAAAAGCCAATAACTAATACATTTAAAGAGAAGAAAACTACAGCTTATAATGTCATCAATTAGAATGAGGAAATATGTAGGGGAAAGGTGAAATCAATCAATCACTAACCAGTTTTTATTTAAAATAGCAAAACCCAAGGGGGGGGTTTTGAGCTTAAAGCAGAACTGTCTTGTTCATCCCCACAGGTATATTAAAACTTGCAATTTATTTTATGATCTGGTGCATTTACTGCTAATAGAACAGAATGAATTTCATTCTATTTTAACACGATGGCTTCCATACACTTGTCTATCTCTTATACAGAATATATTAGTTAAGCCTAACACGAAGAATACTTGTGTTGAAGTCAAAAGAATACAGTTAAATAAATACAGTATCATGTAAATTCACTTAATTATTGACCTAGTACAGGTTCTTCATTAAAAAATAAAACATCATAATATACCTCTAAGACATACAGATAAGAAAAGACAATGCTAAATAAATTCAGTGAATAAGAAACTATCACAAACTTTTAAAAGGACAGAAAATCATTAGTCTCAGTTTAAAAACTTAACATCAATAATTTTCAAATTGAGGTCAGCAAGGCCATATCCTATCTGCCTTCTTAAACTCTTGATTATTTCAAGTACAAAAAGTAAAATAGATCAGTACAGGTGATTAAGAAATGAAAAGAAAAGAGACTAATTTAAAAGGTAGTAACCTAAAAACTTTAATTTGGCATGTTGCTGCATAATCTATAAACATCTGCAATAGAGTGGGCCTATTTTTGAACATCCATTCTTTTTTGTGGGGGCAGCAAGGTGGTATTGGTGATTGAACCTGTGTGGCACCAGCTTTATCACTTAACCACATCCCTAGCCCTTTTTATTTTTACTTCAAGTAAGGGTCTTGCTAAGTTCCTGAGGCTGGCCCTTCAACTTTCAATCCTCCTGTCTCAGCCTCATGAGTCATTGGGATTACAAAGGCATGTGCCACTGTGCCCCACTAAACATATATTCTGAAAACTCAATTTTCTGGGCTTAATTTTCTGCCATCATCCTACTGAATAATTCCTTTCAATTTGTCAATATATATCTAAAAGCCAATTCAGTACAAAGAATTCAAGAAAGTGCTAGGAAAAATACATTATTAATGTTTACAAACTAATTGGAACAATAGGACCACAACTAATTTAATAGAAAATAAGATAAATTAAATTCCTTAACATTCTCTAAAACCCAACAGAAACTGGACGTGGTGGTGTATACCTGTAATTTCAGCTGCTCAGGAGACTGAGGCAATTTAGTAAGATCCAGTTTCAAAATAAAATTTAAAATTTAAAAAGAGCTGGAGAGAGAGGATGATTGCCTACCATGTGTGAGGCCCAGAGGTCAATCCCCACTACTGCAAACAAACAAGAGACTCCAACAGGAAATGAAAGAGATTAGTGAGAGAGTGTAAGGAATCTTCTCTTTGTGAAGGTATAACTCAGTAGTGTAAAACGTGGGGCACTGGGGAAAGTGCACAAGAGTAAAAAACACCTATGCTGCACACAGAGAGGTATGGATGACTAAGAGGGGAGGGACATGTCAAGAAACAGCTGGAGTAAATATGGATGCATATGGTAGGACCACACCATGAATTCCCTTCAGAAACAAGCACAAATGTTCAAATTTGGTATGGAAGTCAAAACTGGATCATTTTCAAATGGTGTGATGAGTTTTTTAAAAAATTTCAGTCATAAAACAATAAAGGAACTTAAAAACAAATAAGTTGACCTATAATTTCATCGCCCCCAACAAAACAACACTTTCTCTGAATTCCCACTATCTGCGAGACACATAAAAATCTAGTGATAAGGGAGAAAACAGAATAAGGGGAATCAGATTTAAAAAACTAACTGGAATATCAAGATATGAGGAATTCAATCTCTTTGTTAAACACAACAACACATATACTACAACAGGACTCAATACCAAAGGTAAAGGGTCATGGAAGTGTCAACACTGCAGTTTGGTAGAGGGGATGCATACCATACATAGCAAAGTCAAGAAGGAAAGCAAACCCAGGAGTAGAGGAGGCGTGTGTTCAGTTGCAAAGAGGTAAAGTCTGAGGTTAAAAATAACACTTTCTACAGTTAAGAGGTTATGTCTAACAAATACAAAGTAGAGCAGTCCGGTTTTCTTCACGTAATTAAACTTTACTATCCATTTAAAGTTAGCAAATTAAAATAACTTTTAAAATTAAATTAATGTCTTTTAAACCAAATACAGGATTCTGGATTACTGACAGGTTTGAGCAATCTGTTTAAAATTCCTTTAGACAAACTTATAATATTCTACTTTTTATAACTGCTGATGATTCAGTCAAATACTGCTAGATACTACTTGCTTATGCATTTAGTCATGAATAAGGCCATTTATACTTTAACAGCTTACAAACAATTTATGTAAGACTTTATGCAAATTAAAAAGTAGGGTCTATTTTGTGATTTAAATATTGCCCTTTTCTAGTGTATTTACAACAAGAAACTAAGTTATTTATGTCAGTGTCAGAATATAAAACAAATTACTGATAAATTTCAACTGCTAATATTATTTCAATATATTATGTTGCAATCTCTATGAGATCTGTATTGTAGGGTTTACATTTGCAGGAAGAATGGTTCTTACCAGGTTGTGGCTGCTTTCTGATTCTGGGATTCTGATTGCCTTTTACTACATTTACCCTCTGTTTTTGTGGAGATTTCTTCATAGGTGGCTTAGCCCTTGCAACAGTTTTGACTGGAGATTTTTCTTGTTTCCTTGCCCTTTTAGCATTCGTTGCCACTGGAACATCTTTAGAAATAGAAGCTTCTTGGTTTTTCCTATCCAATTTGGTTTTCTGTACAAACTGTGCAGTCAGCACTTCCGCACCTTATATAGAAAAGACACCATTTTTTAAGGGATGGGGCCCCAGATATTTATCAGCATAGCTTTTCCCTTTATTTCTTTAATTTTGGGGCATAACTTTACTAATGGGGAATAAACTATATTTTGGGGTATCATTAAGATTTTTTTTTTTTTTTTAAAAAGGAGCTAAAAGTTTTCACATTAAAAAAGTGACTTGGGAAGCTGAGGCAGGATGATCGCAAGTTAGAGAAACCCTGTCTCAAAATAAAAAACGAAAAAAGGGCTGCAGATATGGCTCAGTGGTAAAACTTAGCAAGTCCTGGGTTCAAATTCCTGGAAATAAATACATAAATATATACATATACATACATAAATGAAGTGTCTGTTTATAACCTATTAGGTAAAGAAGAAAAATACAGCCCAATAACTTTACAAAAATAAGGAACAAATTTTTTTTTTAAATGTGTACAAACTTTTTTGACTGATGTGACAGATAAGAATATGTTAATTCACAATCCCAGGAAATGGATAATTATATTTAAACAGAAAACAACACAGCTCTTATAAGGTGAAATGGTTAAAATTATGAATGTACAATCTCTGTAGTATGATTATAAAGAACCACACTATATATTTTACTTTACTGCTTCTAAACATCTAAATTTTTAATTTTTTTAAACTTATTTTTTGTGTAGTTGTTATTTTATTTATTTTTATGTGGTGCTGAGGATCAAACCCAAAGCCTCACATGTGCTAGGCGAGTGCTCTACCGCTGAGCCACAACCCCAGCCCAAATCTAAATTTTAATACCATCTGAAAATAAACTTTTAAGAAAATATAGGGGAAGACTGACAAAAATCTGCACCTAATTTTCTACAAATCTATTTACAAAACAAATAAAAACAAAACAAAAATCTGTCTTATACGATGCTGTTTGCTTTTTGCATGAAATTAAGAAAATAGCTTAAGATGGGAAATTAGGTGGGGAGGGAAAATACTGCCCACCTAAACATTACACAATAAAAGTTTCAAACTTTTTAAGAGTTAAAAACATGTTAATAAATACTCCATTTTCCCCATGGATTTTTCATAAATCTAGTTGTTTCCACCAGAAAGTTTAGCCACAAAGATATATAAAATTATCAGAAATGAACGTTGTCAAGAATTTTAAAGTTATAATATACAGAAAATAGCATTTCTCACTGAAAACAATAAACAGTATTAAACAGCATAATAAACTATGGTGGCATTAGTGAATTATAAGGACAAAATAGAGATTCATTTTATTCTTCTGGAATTAGAGAACCAGTACTTTAAAGACAGCTTTCAGAATAATCTCTACATTTCCCAGGGTCTAATTATTTTTCCCTATTAAACTATCATAGGAAATGAAGCAGCTCATCAGTCTTTTCCAAGAGTAAGACTTCTCTCATTCCATTCCAGTTATTTTCTAAAAGCTTCAGCACACAGGCAAAATAAATATATCAAGCAGGAAATTGGTTAAGATTTAATTAAAAAAAAAAAAGAAAGAAAGAAAGAAAAATTAGATAACCAAGATATAGGGGGAAAGTTTCTAACATTGGCACAGTCAGGAAGGGAAGGTCTCTCACAAACCCAGGTCCTGAGGAAAGAAAAAGAAAAACGAAACAAGGTGATTCTCAGGGATGGCATTTTGTTTGTATGGATTACTCAATGCCATGTTTCTCAGATTGCACTCAGTAATCCACTGGTAGGTTGTAAAATAAACTCAATGAAATAGAAATCATCAGATTGTATTATATACAGTAAATGTATTATATACAGTAAACCAAAATTTTTGAAATTATTGTTTCAGTCATGTATGAATTTGTGGGTAGACTATAAAACAAACTGTTTTGAGAAACAGTAAGAATGAATATTGAATTACAGATTGTTTAATATCTTGAAGTAGATTAGTTTACATAGAACAGAAACAGTATGGTTGGCCTGGGATATATTTTGAAAACCGTTGTAAAAAAGGATTCAATACTTCATATTGCAATACTTTCCAGCACCCTCTTCAATACACATATACTACCCACACCATTTCTCAAACCAGAAAACCATAACAGGCCAGAAATTATTATTTATTAAACCATAGGGTAAGGCTTTATTCAGAATCTTGGAGATCCCTAAATCCTGTGTTTCTTTAGGCATCAGCATTTTCTAATTCAAAATAGTATAGATAGGGCTGGAAAACAGTTTCTGTGAAAGGCCAGAAAGCACATTATTTTCAGCTTTGAAGGCCAATTAGTCTCTGTCATGATTGCTCAACACTGTCAAAGTTGAGTGAGAAGAGCCACATGATTGATACAGGTATGACTCTTGCTTCTTGGGTAAAGTGTGTTGACCCTTTTGCTAAGTATAGTATCCTATACTTTTAGAGAATGTATACTGTACATAATTTGAGATTATTCTATGCCAAAGTCATATGGTTTGCTGTCCTGAGCTAGCCAAAGTATATTTGTCAATAGAGTAAATGTAGAGTTCTAGACTCTGTCACTCAGTTTTTCGGGGCATCCAAACTGCTTATGGAACTTTTTCAATGTGTTTCTAAATCACTGTTTATTTGTTTTAGGTGGTCAGTCCTAAGACCCAGGTGATCATTTACAATATTCTGATACACACAAAGGATGAGAAAGCTGGCCCAAGTGAAACACAACTGAAACATAAGCTTTTGAGGTACCATCTCAGGGATGGTATTTTGTTTGTATGTATTACTCAATGTCATTTTTCTCAAACTGCATTCAGTAATCCACTGAAACACAAGTGAAACCAAAACTTTTGAGGTACCTCAGTTTCTCCCATTTCTTGGGTTTGCAGGGGTAATCTAGGTCACTGCTTTTCAAGCTTAACATGCCTGCAAAATACCTGGGGAGATATGTTGGTGTTTCTAACAAACTTCTAACCCACTGCCAAGCTGCAAACCACCAAATCCTGACAGAAACAGTGTTCGAATACAACTAACTAGTAATAATCCACATAAGTCATGCTTACCTCTTTTTCTTTTCTGAGGAAACTGTCCTTTAACTAACTTAAGGGTTGTTGGAGAGTGCGATCCACTGTCTGTTCCGGGTGCAGTTCTTTTGGGAAGAGGGCGACACAGATTAACCCTTTTATTCTGCACCAGGAGTGGCATGCTGGCTTTTCTCTTTGGCTGCACTCTCAAATTTGATGCTGGATTCAGTGGAACCACCACTCCCTTTTTTGCTGTCGATATTTCCTCAGAATTCTTTTCTGTTTCAGTTTCTTTCCTTACTTCCACCTCTGAGTCAAGAAATTCAGGATCTGGAGTCATAACTAAAGAAAATCCAGCATCACAAATTCCATCTGAAATACAAGGAGACTGAGGACGCTCTGCTAACAAATCCAAAGCAGCAGAAACTTCCAAAGTGTAACCACTAGGATCTGAAAAATAAGACCTCAACTGAGTTAAAAACTCTAATGGGCACTTTTCAGGTGGAGGAACCAAGTCAAAACCATTGGACGATTTCCCAAAGAATGCAGTCTTTTTCATTCCATCCCGAGCAACCGTCAATGAAGGGCTTTTATCTGCCTTGTACAGTTCTTGAAAACTGTGTTTTACTAATGTGCTTGGACAGGTTCCTTCTTCAGGAAGTGATTTCTTTGCTTCCAGCAGGGCATAATTAAGTGCAGGTAAAACAGGTATCACTTTCAGTGAGATGTCATCTTCAACTTTCAAATCTTTTACCCCTAAAATGTATGTCATATATTAAAAACCTGAAATTGTTTTTTCTCTTTAAATAAAACATGCAAGAAAAAAAAATATTTAGATGAAATGGTTAAATATGCTATGTTTCAAATGACAGCCTAAATAGCAATTTTAAAAGACTTACAGATATACTTCATGAATAAGTATGTCCATATATTTGATATTAAATGCACACACTGAACTGAAAAAGAATCATTTGACATATAATTGCTAGGTTAGAATGAATAAGCTAAGCCGTGCCTCCAGCTCCATTTCACTTGACAAGCAGTTCAGAAGGAGCTCAGATGGTCCTTCATAGCAGTAGCTCTGGCCATTACAGTGGGCAGATTTGCTTTCCTGCTTTTTAATTCTCATTTTCTTTCTTTAAAATATATGTACCTTATTTTATATGTACCTTATATAACTCACATCAAAATCTTTATAGAAGTTATATAATGCAAATCAGATGCACTGAAAGAAGGAAAGGATTTAAATAATCCCCAAATCTCAATGAAAAAACAGTTGCTAATTTCATCACCTTTCTGATCAAATGAAACAAAAATTTTAAAAATTAACTAAACCAATTACCCGTGTTTCACCTCTTTTTCTTGTTCCACTCCGTTAATTTTTTAGCAAATGGATAACTTAAAAAGAAGTAGTGAGAAAAAGGAAAGGCCAGATCCTCTATGAACTGCTTATTATAATATTAGAAAATTTCAGTCACTAGTAATATAAATCTATATATACAAAGACTACCAGTAGCCAGAAGCTGCAAACAGGAATTATACCATCTTTTTAAAGAAAAGGTACCCAAAGAATTACTAACCCCAAGTTAGTCCTAGTTAAATATAGTAACATAATAAGTATTAGGAAAAGGAAAAAAAGGGTAAATAAGAATAAACAGGAAAATGTGGCTATATATTAAAACAAAAATTCCTTTCATCATTTTAAATGAGTAATGAATTAAGGAAAAATAAAAAGCCCTTATGCATTTATAAGCACACAGTTTGCAATAAAGTATCATTTTAAAGGCAACTTCATTATTTCAAGATGGAATTTGGAAAGGCAGAACCTAATATGATTTGTCATAGAGTATCAAAAAATCCATGAAAGAGGGTGAGGCCTGTAGAGCACTTGCCTTGCCTGTATGAGGCACTGGGTTCTATCCTCAGTACCACATAAAAATAAATAAATAAAGATGTCGTGTCCATCTATAACTAAGAAAATATTTTTTAAAAATCTATAAAAGAGAAGTTAGCTAGGCAATATATTACTCTTCCCCCACCCTGGAAGATTTAACCTGGGGGTGCTTTACCACTGCGCTACATCCCTAATTCTTTTTTATTTTGAGACAGGAGCTCTTTTTAAGTTGCTTAGGGCCTCACTAAATTGCTGAGGCCAGCCTTGAACTTGTGATCCTACTGTTTCAGCCCCTCAAAGTCACTGGGATTGTAGGTATGAGCCACCATGCCTGACTAATATTATTCAATTTAAAACAAATAGCTTAAGTTTTACTTCTGAATGACGGTTTAGTATTTTTTTTAAAAAGTCTTCATGAGCCTGAGTAGCACATGAAACACAAAACCCCAATAAGTATTCAAACAAAATTCTTGTGCTGTTCCTGGGTATAAGTAGTAATGGATCTTATCCAAGTTTATAATTTAAAAATAAATCAACTAAGGGGTTGTAGCCCAATGGTAGGGCGCTCGCCTATCACATGCGAGGCCCTGGGTTCAATCCTCAGCACCACATATAAATAAATAAAATAAAGGTACTATGTCCAACTACAACTAAAAATAAATTGATTTTAAAAAATCAACTTAAGCCAGGCATGGTGACACACACATATAAGTCCCAGATACTTGGAAAGCTGAGGTAGAAAAATGACCTGAACCAATGAATTCAAGATCAGTTTGGGCAGCATAGCAAGATCCTGTCTCAAACACCACCAAACATATTTTAAAAATAAAACAAGCAACAATAACAAAACCTTTAAAAACTTTTCTGTAATGGTTGTAGCTTTATAAGTTCAAGACATAATTTTTTGTTTAAAAAACACACAGTGTTGGGCTGGGGTTGTGGCTCAGTAGTAGAGCGCTTGCCTAGCATGTATGAGGCACGGGGTTCGATTCTCAGCACCACATATAAATAAGTAAATAAAGGTCCATCAACAACTAATAAAAATATTTTTAAAAAGATGTTTAAGAAACATACAGTGTAGGGCAGGTGATGAAGCTCAGTGGTACAGTACTTAGCTACCATGTATAAGACTCTGGGTAGCTCCCTAGTTCCACAAACCAAATAAAACCCCACACATTTATGAAACAAGTGAGAATTTCTTCATGTTGACAAAAAAAAAAAAAAAAAAAAGATTCACTTTTATTTATTTGTTCAGGAGATATTTATTATTTTTGAGGTTTCTGGCATCAGTAGACCTTAAAGATAGTAGAATATAAAAAAGGCAGGCAATAGGCTGGGGATATAGCTCAGTGGTAGATAATGTGTTTAGCATTCATGAGGCCCTAAGTTACATTCTTAGCACAATGAAGAAAAAAAGAGTTACAAGAAGGGTAAGGTATTGAAATACACAAGTAAATATTTAAATTATATTAATGATAAGCATAGTGAGGTTATAAAAAAACTGATACCGAAACTATAACTTGACATATATGAATAAGCTAGATCAGTGTTCCTTAAGGTTTTTGCTCATTATCCTCCCCAGGAGCCACCTTAGCCTTTTCCCCTAATTGCCATAAAGAATAATACCAAAGATACACTGCGTATCTCTTTTCATAATATATAAGTAATATTTTTTCACCACAGGAATCAAATTTTGGTCCTTTGGGCATTCAATGTCACTCTGAGAATGCATAAGCCAAATATGGAGTACAATAGTCCAAACAGTGAGAAGAGTATCCATGAAGACCCTGAGTCCTCCTATTGGATAGGCTATGGCAAAACAATCTCCTAGCTACTGTTTTCAGTAACAAACAAATTCAATTTTATACATTCTGAATTTGAAGTACCTTGGAGATATCAAGGTGGAAATATCAGTGGATATTGTGAGATATGTGTCTGAAGCTCAGAGGAAACGATAAGCCTGCAAAGGAGGTCTGGGATCAACTAGGAAAATTAAGGGATGAGAATTATTTAAGAAGAAACAGCATTTAACAGTTCATGTGCTACTGAGAGGTCAAGTTAGATGAGGACTGGGAAACACACAACAGACCAAGTGAACTGAATACCACTGTGTCCTTACCTGTTGACAGGTGTGAATGGAACAAATATAACCCATGTAGACCTATCTGCTCACCTCCCAAATCTATACAGAATGAGAATCAGAAGAAAAGTTAGGTTGCCAATCTTATATAACAAAAGTTAAGTACGCTGAAAAATATTTCTTCCAAAAAAACATGTGTCCTTACTTGGTTCTGGTATTAAGGCTGATGATGTAAGTAAAATAAAAAATCCCCGGTCTTCTAAGCATTTGATGATTGCCTGAAAACACACACACACATTAAAAAAAAAAAAAATCTTTAATACCTCTTCTCTTCTACCACACAGTGTATTCTGAGCTCAAAAGAATTTAAAAATTTTTGAAATGTTAATGTTTCCAGGAATCACAGAATTTAGAGCCCAATTTTAGAAATTGCCAGTTTCTTAGCCAAAAAAATCATGACCATGTTCTAAAAATAATAACTATAACAGCAAGGGTTAGTTTATAATAGCGCTTAACTATATAACAGGTCAATCAGAAAAAGCTTTTTTCACTCTTCCCCCACTGGGATAGTTGCCATTTCAAACCACTGAAGGCAAAGTTACCAAGTAGCCCACTGATTCACATGACAATTATTGTAGAATCATGAAATTTAAAAAACTATACAATGAAATAATCCTTTTAATAACATCCTAAAGATAAACAACACTCGTGTAGTAGGCAAAATTATCAAAAAGTTATTAATTATTACAAATCATAAAGTTAATAGTTCTTTTCCATTTTCAAAAATGTACCCTTAACAAAGATAAAATCCAATGTTCATAAAATATTAAAAACAAACAAACAAACAAACAAAAAACAAGAAAACAACAACTACTGAGACATCAACATAAATTGAGGTACAAGGGGGATAAAAACGTATTAGTCAATGAATATTATATGTCCATAGACTGGGCATGGTGTATGCCTGTAATCCCAGTGACTCTGGAGGTTGAGGCAGGAAGATCATAAGTTGGAGGCCAGTCTGGGTAACTTAATGAGGCCCTCAGTAACTTAGTGAGACCCTGTCTCAAAATAAAAGAAAAAATTTAAAAAGGCTAGGAATGGAGCTCAATGGTAAAGCAAACCTGGGTTCAATTCCCATTAGCCAAATAAATAAATAAATACCACACACTGAAAATTCTTTTTGCAAATTAAAAAACTTCAATATAGGCATAGCCAACTAATATGTAGATATCAATTTCTCAATTAAGGTGAAATAAGTACATTTTAAATGAATGACTCTTACCAACTGTTTATTTTTAATGTACTCTGTTAGTTTATCTATCCTTTCCCCTTGTTTGTTTGACAGTTCCACTTCATACAATTCAAAGCACAAATCTTGACAAAAGACTGTAAAGGAAATCAGAAAAACAACATTCCTTATGTTTTTTTTAATAGTTCATTCATTCATTTTGTAAGTCACAAAAATGAAAGAAACTAGGACTATCTTGATAAATTTTTATCACTTAGTGGTGTTCTTAGTTATAAAACGAAAAGTTATTGAAATAATTATTTTAAAACAATGCTCATTTACATTGGCACTGCTATAGGATTAATAAGATAAATACTATATAAATAAAATAAACATCAATATTCCAAAGATTAATCTAAGTGACCAAAATTTTTTCTTCTCACATTTTTATTTTTCATTTTAAAGGATATAAGTAAAATCAGCAACAAAAACTCTGCTATCTTTGATAGGAAATGTCTATGAGTTTCTAGTTATTTTTAATATCTGCTTAATTCTCTCAATATTCTAAAAGCTAGTCTTATTATCTTAGATAAACTACCTTTAACATTTTCTGGATGAATTCCAAGGAACTGACGAATATGGCAAATCTAGAACTTTCTCAAAAAACTCTTAAAGAATCTCTTAAGATTAATAGAAGAAAGGTTTGTGTGTATGTGCACACATGAACTACAAGAGAAAATTGGAAATAACAGGAACAAAAGCCCAGGACATGCAGTGTGCCATTATATTCAACAGACCTTTGTGCTCCAAGTAGTTCTGTTTTTTAAAGGCAGCTTCTGGTAGTCGTTTTTTCAAAGAAGACACTTTCATTACATACTTAAAATCAAGTTCCTGTGGTCTAAAAAACAAGGATATCAAGCAATGCAATAAATATTGAAATTATATATAGTTCCATAATTTTTGGTTTTCTAACATAAATGCAAACAAAAATATAATGACCACAAAAGTTCTTATAGTGATAAAATCTAGGTTAAATAATATGCATATGTATAAAAAGTACAGATTTTCAACAAATGACCCAAATGTGCAAATTGGTTCACATTTTCTGAATACATGCAATTTTGATATAACCAAAATATCCTGATATTTCAACAAATTATATATACTGCAAATTGAGAATTTAAAAAATCATGCTATTTAAGAGTTGAAAACTCTTACATATGCAGATTTTTTGAATCACTTCCCAACTACTTTTTCCTTTTTCAAAACTTACTTTTGGAAGGTTTAGACTAACTTAAACTGTGCAAAAATGGTACAAAGAATTCTTCCATACACTTCAGATTTCCTAAATGTCACCAGCATACCATATTTACTTTATCATTCTTCCTTTCTATATAATATTAATTCTGATTCTTTTGAAAATAAAATGCAAATGTGATGTCTTTTTACCCAAATACTTCTTCAAAAAGGAAATTTTCTGACACAATGACAAACCAATCAGTAAAATCAAGAAATTCACAATGTTACAGTATTATTACTTAACCTACCCCTTCTCCTCAACTTTTGTCAAAGTCTCAGTAAGATCTTTTGCAGCAAAAGTAAGCAATTTCCTATACAGGATGTCAATGCATTTTGTTATCATATCTCTTTGGTCTCGTTTTATCTTAGTCTTTCTTTTCAAAAACCAGATATTTTAAAGAACACAGATCATTTTGTAGAATGCCTGTGTATCTAGGTAGGTCAAATGCTTCCTCCTGATTATATTAGCAGCAATACCACAGACAGAAGGGATACAATGTCATTCTCTGTGCATTACACCAGAAAGCACTGACATCTATTCCATTAATAGTTACATTAACTTGACCCTTAGTTAAGATGGGATTTGTCAGTTTCCTGCGCTTTTGTGATTAATAAGCAAGTTAAAGGGATATGCAAATATCAATCGTTCATCTACTGTTTTTAGCATCCACTTGATTATATACTTCAACATTTTTTTGTACATTTGGTAGTTGTGCTCTATTTTGAGGAAGAATTTTTCCTTCTTTCTCATTTATTCAAAAAATTCTTATTTTATTTTATGATTTATAATACCTCTCTGCCTCTTCATAAGGCCAACAGAAAGAAAATGAATCAATACCATACCAGTTTTCACCATTCATTTCAATTCAACTATGTCTATATTTCAATAATTTTGAGTACAAAGAATTGGTAAAAGAAAATATTTCATAAGATATACTTTACAGTTTGCCTAGAGAAAGTATTAATTATGATAATTCATTATAATGAAAATAAATGTAACAGCTACTTTATCTAACACTTTTACCCCTCAGAGAATCATGTAAAAACTAGAAACTCAGATACTGCTTATGTTTTTTTTTTTTTTTTTTGGTACCAGCGATTGAATCCGGGAGTGCTTAACATCCTAGTCTTTTCCTTTTCTTTTTCTATTTTGCTAAGTTGCTTAGAGCCTTGCTAAATTGCTGAGCCTGGCTTTAAACTTGTGATCCTCCTGCCACAGACTCCCAAGCCCCAGGGATTACAGGTGTGTGCCACCACACCTAGCAGATACTGCAAATCTTAATAAAGACTTAGTGACAGGATTGAGTGGCTATAATCTTGTATTTATTAAGGCAAATCTGATTCACTTTGGGGAAAAGTCAAATCTCTAACATAAAGTAATTTATTCTGAGAGATCATTTTCCCATCACTAGATTAGAATTTAGGTCTCCTGTGTCATATCCTTGTGCTCTATATACCTACTCAAATATACCCTAATCTAAAAGCAAGTATAATTGTTGCAATTCACACCAATGCCAACCAGCAAGACCTCAGATGAGAATTTTTTTAAAAATTTAAAATTAAAAAATTAGGGTTAGGAGTGTAGCTCAGGGGTGGAGTGTGCTTGCTTAGCATGGGCAGGGTTCTGGGTTTGAAAGCCAGCAGTAGGGAGAAAAAAAAAAAAACCCTATAAAACTTCATATAAGCATTTAGGAAGGAAACAAAATACAATACTTACAGCTGTGTTGGAATTATTGTACCGTAAGTAGACCAAAGAGTTATATCACACAGCACACAACCTTGAATAATTAATCTCCCTTTCCATGGAGAGAGAACTTTAAGAAATGAGAATAAAAAAGGAAACTGGATTATTTATGAATGAAACATTTACTAAAAACAAAAAACTGAAAGACTAATAAAATAATTTCTTACCATTTTTACTGAGTTCAACTCTAAAAAAGAAAAAAAAGCATTCTTATTAGAGGCAAAAGTAGTAAATCCCAGTAAAACAAAGTATGCACATAATTACTTACATGCTGTTATGAGCTGGTGCTGCCATCTTTTTAGGCTCCCTGTACTGAAAAGCTACAATTACATAAGGACAGATCTGTCTCGGTCTCTTAATAACAGTGTCGCCTGAAAGTTCATAGAGGTAATACTGAAAAAATAAAAACATATATTATCAGTGCTATGGAATTACATAAATATCAAATTTACCTCTTTTTCACCCAGCCCTGAAATTTAGCACATTAGATTCAGAAATATACTTTAGGTATTATTTATTCACAGGTGACTCTACCTGACTCAGCTCAAAGGCACGAAAATGACTTGTCTTGTGAGAAACTTTGTTTGTATCTGCCGCCACGTGGCAATCATAGCCAAAAGATGGCCTAGTGTAGTTAGTTGTATAATTCTCAGACACAAACTTGACTTTTCCCTGGAATGAAAATATTAAGACTAATCAGATGTCTTCAAATAGCAAAAATATTTACTCTAGAATTCATAAGCCTAACAAGGAAGTGGTTGTGTTTGCACCACCAGTAACTATAGTTAAGAATTATCTTCTTTAAAAAAAATGATCTTGGGCTGGGGCTGTAGCTCAGTGGCAGAACGCTTGCCTTGCATGTGTGAGGCACTGGGTTTGATCCTTGGCACCACATAAAAATAAAAACAAATAAAATAAAGGTATTCTGTCCATCTACAACTACAAAAACAAAACAAAACAATGATATTAAGGCCAATAATAGTTTTAATTATCACAAACCCTTTAAAACTATATTTAAAAATCTTATGTGTTTGGTTATCTTTCAGAGGCAAATACTCACAGCTTTTATCACAATATCAAAGGAATACATGAATAACTCCAAACTTAAGAGAACCAAAAAAAATCTTGTTTGCCAGGCAGTAATGCACACCTGTAATTCCATTGACTCAGGAGGCTGAGGACAGGAGGATTATAAGTTTGAGGCAAGCATCATCAAACTTAGTGAGACCCATTCTCAAAATTAAAAAAAAAAAAAAAAAAGAACCATTTAAGAGGAAAAACTACACAGTCCACCATATTTTTTTAAAGTATTTTTTTAGTCTTAGATGGGCACAGTATCTTTATCTACATGTAGTGCTGAGGATCAAACCCAGTACCTAACATGTACCAGGAAAGTGTTCTACCATTGAGCTACATCCCCAACCCTACCCACCATCTTTCATGATATACTCTGTGAATGGCTATTTAGTAGTAACAACAGAAAATATAACAAAATTTGAAATTTCAAAAGATAAATTTCCAAACCAAAGTATTAATAATTGTAAATTATGCCAGGGCCCAAAAGTCAGCAACAAGCAAATATGTATAAAGTGCTTAGGCAAAGTGTAAGGCAGTTAGCCTTGATCACCAAACAGCCAACAGTATTTCCCATTATAGACTTTTCTTCAACAAGGATCAAAGTTATCATATGATGAATTACAAGTATTTAAAACCTGAATGAACAATAATAAAATATTGAATAATATAATGACATAAGAAAAAAAAATGTTCATAATATGTTAAGTTTTAAAAGAATTAGCATGCAAATATACAAACCATAAACTTTTTATGAGTTAGGAAATCAATATGTATGGGGGGGAAATATATACCATATATACCAATGTGAGATATGAGATTATAGACAATTTTTACTTTTAGAGGCAGGGTCTCTCTGAGTTGCTTAGGTTCTCACTTAAATTGCTGAGGCTTGCTCTGAACTCACAACCTGCCTGCCTCAGCTTCCTTAACTGTTCCTCCACATCTGGTTGGAACTACATTTTTTACAGAAGATTTTTTTTATTGATTCTTGAAGTCCTGCCTCTTCACTTATAGGACCCACCAAAGACAATACACTAAGAGGCCAAAAAAGGTAAATACTACTACTCAGTAACCGCAACCTCTACCTTTTCCCATGAAACATCTATGGCACTGAGCATTTTTTGCTTTTCTGAAATAAAATAAGGACTGAGAGCACCTAGGCAAATATTAAACAGCAATCTCTAGCCAGACAGGGGAGCAGACACTGGCAACAAACCAACCTACATGATCAAAACCAAAATGCTTATTATCTGCGTTAACAGACCTACTTTCTGCCAGAACTACAACACTTGTCACAGAGCAGAATGAAGTTTAAGACAAGCAAGGACAGTACATCATGTCAGTGTTATTTTCCCTGTAGTTCTTGGGGGAACAAACTTCAAAATATGAAGAGTTTACACTCTTTAAAAAGTCAGTAAAACTGGGCTGGGGTTGTAGCTCAGTGGTAGAGTGCTTGCATCACATGCTTGAGGTCCTGGGTTCTATCCTCAGCAACACATAAAAACAAATAAACAAAAGTAAAGATATTGTGTCCATTTACAACTAAAAAAAATATTTTTAAAAAAGTCAGTAAAACTAATTTTTTTTTTTAAAGAGAGAGTGTGAGAAAGAGAGAGAGAAAGGGAGAGAGAGAGAATTTTTTAATATTTATTTTTTAGTTTTCAGCAGACACAACATCTTTGTTTGTATGTGGTGCTAAGGATTGAACCCAGGCCGCACGCATGCCAGGTGAGCGCGCTACCGCTTGAGCCACATCCCCAGCCCAGTAAAAATAAAATTTAAAAAACTCCAACCTTATCGAAAATCAAATTTCCTGCCATTTGGATGAAAATACTAATTGAGTGTCTCACTTAAACTGAACTACTTAGGACTTTAAGATTTGTGACATTAGTACAAAGGTGCCATATGAAGCTGTGAACAGCCTTTGAATGTCTTAAAAATAAAGAAAACGAAGACTTCTTATTTTGACAATTCAAATCAGACAACAAATGTTGTTTAAATTCATTTTCCATAACTGTAATCATATTATTTTATAAGCAGCTATTTGTTTTATTCCATATTTAAAAAGGAGTTCTGCTTAATAGGGATGAAAGACTTTTCACTAAACAATTTTTTTAAAATTATTATTTTGAAGTTTCTTTTCTTAAATATGTTCAGATGATATATTAAATGAACAAAAATTTGTTTTCAAAGAAAAGAAAAATTAGTTTTACTGAGTTTGAATAACTTGTCTTAGACAATTACTACCTTTAGTTAATGCTCTACAAAGAATATCAAAAGGGGCTGAGTTTATAGCTCAGTTGGTAGAATGCTTGACTTGCATGCACAAGGCCCTAGGTAAGACAAAGCATATCTTAAGTAGATAACCTTCAGTTTTTAAAAGAAAATTATATAAAAGCACATCTGGGTCTTTACCTTAATTAGATTAAAAATTACAACATAACCAGATTTCCCATGATACCATGGTCTTGGATGAAGACAGTCTGAGTATTTGGAAATGTATACACCTATAAAAGTAAAACAGATTAATTTATACTTTTACAGACTATTTATACAGATACAATTCACACCTAGGACTGTTTTTAAATAATACTACAAAAAGAACGGATAAAAGTCCATTTTTAAAATGCTATGTTGATATTGCTTACACCTTTTTTTAAGAATCACTATATTTCAAAACCTTAAAGTTAAGAATGTGTGTTTGACAACCAATTTTCTAGTTTGGTATAATAACTAAAAAGGGATAAAAGTATCACATTTTTTGGAAAAATCCTAAATGTCTTCTTTTGGGATTTCTGTGCAATCACTCAAACAAAAGGCCTATGGTATTATGGTAATCTGACTCTCAAAGTTATTCTTTATGAAAAAATATCAATAAGCACCCTTATGTAATAATACTGAGAGTCTATGTGGTAGGTTCTGTGCTAGAGAGCAGTGACAAAAAAGTAAATAAAGTAAGGTTCCAGCCTTCAAAGAAGCTTGTTTTGCTAGCCTGCAAATTCTATCAAAGCAAAGGTTATATTTATTGTTTGCCAAAAAAATATAGCCCCAAATGCAGTAGGTACTCTGGGTCCAGCAACAGAGAACCACTAAAGGTTTTAAGAAGCAGACTGCCAGTAAAGAGGAAAAAATAGAACAACAATTAGAAAGCTCCAGTAACAGCTGAAAGAGAAGGATCCCAACAGTAGCAGTGAAAATAAGGAGAAAGGACAGACTTCAGAGATATTACTCAACTGAGGCATCTTTTTTGAAATACAACACAGAATGGGTGAGAAAGCTTAAGATATAGTGACAAAAAACAATCTATAATCAGAATCTTGGCTTCCAGTTATGAATAAGTCCCTCAAGGGAGAAGGGTAGGCCTGGGCACAGACACAAAGACCACAGATTCTCAAGAAAATTAAAGATTAATATACTTCCTAAGACTATGAAACATTGTATTAGTAGAACATATTACTATTAAACATATAATTATCCAGTTCTATATGAGCCAGAAACTATGAAATTTATGAAGGCAGTAGTGTTATTCTATTATCAAGCCCCACATGTGTTCAGAAGGATGGGTTCCTGTCAGAATAATCCATCTTTTACTTTTACCTCTCTACTGAAGCCAGCCTCTCAAGCAGCCGCAATAAAATCATGTGACTGTAGTAATGCAAGAAAAATTTCATATTTTTTGAGATGGAAGCTTAGGCGCTTATTGTAATTTACTTTCAAATTCTTCAGAAAAGAATGTAAATGAAGCAAATCATATAATGCAAAATGTTGTCTGTTAGCCTTGGGTTCTCTAACTTTTCTATATGTTAGAACTTTTGTAATGAAAAAAATGAGGTTAAAAAATAGGGGAAAAAAAAAAAGGTTTTAAGTAATGTTCCTGGGGTTCTAAATTTATCACCCTTACAATATCCTTTAGAAGATATAAGTTGAATGTTAATCATTTTGTTTTACAGTCATTATGTGAACTAGTGATTATACTGCTAGTTATATATGCAAAAGAAATGAAAACATAATGTCTACACACAAACTTATACAATAATTAATAATTACATTAATAATTAAATACATTAATAATTAATAGCACAGAGTAGTCACAGCATAATAGCTAAAAAGTGAACACAACACAAATGCCCATCCACTGATGAATAAAGAAAACTGTGGTATATAAACATATAATAAATTAGACCATAAAAAAAAAATGAAGTACAGCCGGACTTGGCGGCACGTGCCTACAATCCCAGTGGCTCAAGAGGCTGACAAGAGGACAGCAAGTTCAAAACCCAGTGTCAGCAATGGCGAGGTGCGAATTAGAAATCCTGTATCTAAATAAAATACAAAATAGGGCAGGGGATATGGCTCAGTGGTTGAGTGCCCCTGAGTTCAATCCTCAGCACCCCACCCAAAATAAAACGTGAAGAGAGACAGGCTATAATACAGATAAACCTCTAAACCAGTATACTAAGTAAATGAAGTTACTCATAAAAGATCACATAATATGCGATTCTATTTATATGCATGTCATAGAGGCAAATCTATAGAGGCAGAAAGTAGACTAGTGGTTGCCTACAGCTGGTGATAGTGGAGAAAGGGAAGTCACTGTTCATTGACATGGGATTTCTTTTTTGGGTGACAAAAATGGGTCTAAAATTAATGATGGTGAATAGACTAAAAAAGCACAACCACACTGAATGGTACCCTTTCTAAATGGGTGAGTTTTACAGTATGTGAATTATATCTCAATTCAAGTATTAAAAGGGGATGGTCAGCAAAAAACCAACCATAAAGCCCAATAATCCTTCTTAGTCCTGGTATCTTGACATCTTATAGCACTTAACCCTGCAAAACACGCCCCCTCTCCCTTGAGATACTTCTTGTGTGAAGTTCTACTTGCCAATTCTCCAACCAATTGGCTGCTCTTAATCCTTCCTCATTCTATGGGTTTTCTTATCTCCCTGGTCCCATTAATGATCCCAAAGTTCTGTTGTGGGCCATCTATTCTTTCTATACTATCCTAAGTAAAATCTTGGCTTCAACTAATACCCTACCCCCAAATCTGATTCTGATCCCTTCCCAAATATTTTTTACCACTTGCAAACTATGTTTTAGAAACACTTATGAAATCTCATTATCTCTCAAATTTAACTCACTAAAATACTGTTCATTTACTGAGAAAACTAGGTATAAACTCTTGGGCTAAGTACTTTATACAGTCTCACTTAATCCTCACGACAACTCTATAAAGTAATTTAATCTATTTTCCAAATGAGAAAACTGAAGACCAAAAAAAAATTCAGTGTTAATTATGTTCTTAACCATTACTTATCTCTCTTAACTCATCAGCTTCCCTACCAATCTGCTTCTCTCCTTCTGTGATTCCTTTCTACCTGTAATATCGCTATAGTATACGTTTAAAACTTTATACTTGAATTCTTCTCTCTTACTACTAACATTCCATAGTTGCCAAGTTTGGTCAGTTCTATCTATTCTCCATTCTTATTGCCATTATGATAGTTTACAAGGGATCCTCCCATGCTAATCTTTGGTACTAAAACAACAACAACAAAAAAAAAAAACAACAACCTTTTTTTTATGCTTAAAGTTCTTATTTCTAAAGATTATAACTGGTTTGACATTAATGAAACTGGTTTTTAATATAAGTGTTTTACTATTACTATGATTCTGTAACTCTTATACTTTCTTACCAATTCTCATTAATTCAATGGTCAGATAAAGTGTAAACCCACAGGAAATTCATGTACTTTAGATCAAATTCTCTTTCAAAATAAAATAGTGATCACTTAAAAATAATAATAAAAGCATTTTATAAAATTAACTAATCTTGGGTGGAGATGCAGCTCAGTAGTAGAATACTTTCCTAGCCCTAGGTTCAATCCCAAATACCTCAAAATAAAAACAAAAACAAAAACAACAGAACAAAAACCCAGTATGGAATTTAAACAAAACTCACTTCCTTTTGTAAAAGAGATTGTTTTTTCCTTACAGACTTACCTTTGGCTGGATCACCAAGAGTGGTAATAGCACTGCTACCAACACACAGTCCACGCTGACATACCAATTTGGCCTTTAAACAAAAAAAATACTACTTTTGCTTATTATTAGTCTTGGGAGAGGCAATGAAATAGTGTTATATAATCTATAAGCTTTAAAATAAGTGCAGAATCTGTTCACTGCATGCATTCATGGCACAAAGTAAGCTCACGTCCAGCAACTGTATTTTGATTAATGGTCCAAAGTTTTCCGTAAAACTTTATATTGGTGACATTTAACAAAAATATCACCAGCAAAACCAAATTAAACAAGGTCACAATTAAGTACTCCCTTGAAGGTGTCCCCCCCACAATTACAGCTTTAAATCCACTAAATTCAAAATGTCTTTATTTAGTGTAAACCCATAGCACACCTTATTTGGATTTAGATGACTAAGTTAAAAGAGATTAAATCTGCCCCTATTCTTTATAAAACATTAGCCCAACCTAGGAATTACTTTTGTATTACTTTTGGATGATAGTACTACTAGTCATACACATCTTTGGAGACATATCCTATGAAGTTTGTTCAATCCCACAATTTAGGTACAGAAAAAAAAACAAAAAACAGATATTCAATCTTCAAAGACAGGCACGAAACAACTCTAATTAACTAGTACCCTAAAAGTATTCATCTTATCCTCAAAATCATGTAATTTTAACTTGAAAAGCCTCTAAAGAAAGTATCTGGTAAACAACTATTCATAATAGAGAAATGCCTATTCACTCCACTAAAGGGCATTTAATCCGAATTAATTCAATTTTTACCATAGTTTACAAACAAATTTAAGATAAAACTAAAGAGAAACTATAAAAAGTTGTTTAAAAAAAATCATGTCAGCTTTCTTTATCATTTATACTGCCACTTAACTAAATAACAAAAAAATACCAATTAACTAGTCATCTGACAATCTCTTACCTGATTTTCAGTTTCAAATAGAAGAAACCCGTAAGTTTCTTGAAGTTCTTCCTGAGTATAGTTATTTGCTTGTTTTTGTTGATAAAAGGTTTTGTACTGTTAAAAAGAGAATAACCAAATGCAATAAATATGCTATTTTTGCTTGCAAATAAATTCTTTAAATGTCATCTGAACTCCTCCAGCTGAAAAATTAATTGAATACATTCTTTTTCTATTCCCTAAAATATAATGTTTTCTAAGTGAATATTTCCAAAGCTCTTTCACCTCATCTGAAAAATGATAGCCAAGAAGTATGAGCCTCAAATACCAAAAATGAGTCTATTTCTTTTAAATCTAAATGAAACTCACATAGTGTACACCAAGTACCTCACCTCGTTTAAGAAAATGTCATTTTTCACCAAAGTCACTTGACTGTACTGAAAACCATGCTCAGATGCAGAGTCCAAGTAAGAAGTATGGAGAACTGAAACTGCCCTCTGGAAAAGAGAGTCTGAACTCAAGGACACTGTCTCAAAAACTGTAAAACACAAATAAAAATAATGTCACTGTTTAAGATAATGAAAGGATGGGATTAAGAGGGGCATAATGAATATCACTCAATGTTACCTATTTCTTTCCTGTATAAGTAATAAATTAATGATGTACTGCAGTATAGGTACTGTATCTGTACTGTCTTAATGAATTTTTAAAAGACCATTCATGTGAGGAAAACAGCATAAATAAATTACAACTGAGGCTAAATTACTTTAATACAGGCGCTCAGATATGACCTATCAGACCCCTTACACCTTCTGGTCTAAAGTTGAGCACTATATTGTAAATACAGTTGGCCAAAAGCAGATGTACTGGTAGGGTCAAGATGGCAATCAACAACTGCTTAGGTCAATGTTTCTAACCCTTTAGGTTTTTATTCCTTTTACCCATGTCACATTCTGATAAACCCACTCTTCCCATCCTCTCATCAAATTCCTAAGTCTGTTAGAATCCTTTTTAAGGGGTCAATTATTGCCAACTCAAACAATACTAATCATCTGTCTCTGGTATCTCCCCATCAGCAAAGAGTCATCTATAGAATATTAATTCCCATGGACTATAATTTTTTTTTCATTTTACAAAATAAAACTATTTTTTAAGGTTTTTTTAAAAAAACATACCCATGCGCTATCCCCAGAGATTGTGATATACTCCTCCCCTGAGAAGCATGTTTCCTAATTGAGAATTACTACCTGAATCCAGTAATTTCCTTGATGATCCTGTGTGTTTTGGATTTTTTCATTTCAGCAAAAACTTAGGTTAACCATTTGAACTGTTTACTCTCTTCTGTTTGTATTCTTTTTATTCTCTTTATCAAAATCCCGGGACTTACAAACTTCTTTATAAATAAGAATGATTTATATTGCACCAGAAGTTTTGGTCAAATAGTATGAATAAATATATTAAAATGGCTTCCCACCTCTTAAAGAAAAAACTGCCAATTTCATTAGATTTCAAATGTTAGAGAAGCATCCTAATTAAAATTAACTTACAAACAAAATACGTAAATTGTTACGTATTAACTAAAACCATACTACGAAGGAAATGAAAACATTTCAGTAAATTTAATTTCAACTAAACTGTCCCAATGCTTCAAGTTATTTAAAAAAATCCTTTTTAAATAATCTCCCTAGTTTCAAAATGAAAGCTGTAAATAGAATGAAAGAAAAAAAGGATGAAACATTTAAGAATTTTCAGAAGTTAGCACATCTGATCTATAGCCATCCATTCTAAGCTTTACTTTTGCTCAATCACTTTCTTCTTCAATACCAGTGCTGTAAAACATGAGGATATTCTAAGCTAGGATTCATGGCTCTGCAGCTACTTGGAAGGCTGAGGAAGATAGCTTGAGTCCAGGAGTTTGAAGCCAACCAGAAACCCCATCTCAAAAAAAAAAAAAAAAAAAAAAAAAAAAAAAAATAACCAAACATCAAAGATAATAGTTAAAGTAACAGTTTTTTGTATATTCACCGAGGATAAATAGGTGTGAAACAGTTGTTTACAGTGAAAAAGAAAAAAAAAAAAGTAGCTTCAGAAATAAAGGTTCTGATTATCTACATCTCCAAATTCTACAAGACATTAATAGGGAGATATAAAGTTTGGGAAGTAGGGAATACCATATACATTCCCATTTTTAAGCATCATAATGCACCATAATACAGTGAAAACCAAGAGGTAGTGCAAATTTTAAAAACAAATTTACTTAGCTTTTTAATACATATAGTGGCCAGAGAACACTATATTTCACATCAGTATAAGGAATACTGTTCTCAATGAAACCTTGAGTAAAGCTAAGATTTGAAACAAATAAGGAAGAACAAGTATAAAATGATTTATTTTGTGCTTATATATTTTTATTTCTAAAACTATTTACAGTTAAAATTGCTTTCCCCTTTAGGCCAGCATTATCTGAACAGCATCATATTGATAATAAGTAATAATTTTATGGTTAGTAGAAGGAAAAGAATGTTGGAAAATCATAGCTAATCTTGAATCTTTCATAATTTCATAAAAATGACCTCAATTATACTCTCCAAAGAGCAAAAGTTTCCTGCTTTATAAATAAGAACTTTATCCAAAAAAATTATTGATGCTTTTGCTCACACAACATATTTTCACTTGAGTCTATTGCACTGAACAACATGAACACTTCGTAAATGAATGGCCTCATTTTTGCTGAGCCACATTCATGCTTTATTCAAACATTGAAAATTACAGTATTAAGTAAATGAAGAGGGGGCTTTTCTACAAAGAAACCTAAAATAACATTTAAGAAGGTAACCGAAAAGTGCCTGTGTTTAAAATATTCAAAGTATCGGGCGGGTTTAAGTGACAATACAGTGCACACAAAGAAAGTGAGTTTAGTTCAATCACAATGGTTCTGGGAAGTGAATTTTCCTGTTGTACCTGGCTTTTGGCACATTTCTGTTATGTGTATGCTCAACCTTTAAGTTTGATTTTGAACACCTCTAACTTCTAATAATAGGGATGAGAAAATAATAAACCAACTACCTGTGTGCTATATCATAGCACACTTTATATAACTTTTGGTCTGGGGATTGTAGCTCAGTGGTAGAATACTTGCCTAGCATGCACGAGGCCCTGGGTGTGAACTCTAGTACCATAAGAGAGGAGGGGAAAGTGAGAAAAAGAAAATTTGGTCTGAAAGCCAATGATGAGATAAAACTAATGACAAATTATATGTCACAGTGATTCTAACAAAAACTAGCTTATACATCTCTCCATGACCATATCTTCCCATAGAAGGACAATAACCTACATCTGTTGATAATAATGATGCCTATAAACCTTACCTATTCTAAGTAAGCCATTTGATAATTGAAGGGAACAGTCCATTCCTTAATCATTTAATCTTAAAATGTATTATATCTTTACCTTTAAGATTCTAAAAGATAGATGGTTTAAAATAAGTATATTTTTAGTTCAATTTGGCAGAATCTTAAAAAAAAAAAAAACAACATGCAATGTGCAGGAATGTATTTCTAAGAAATACTGGGATAAGTGGGCAGGACACACACACACACACACACAAAGCATTCCTTGAATAAGCATCCCTAGTGGCAAAAAAAAAAAAAAAAAAAATGAAGATACCCTAAAGTACCATCAACAGAGAATACTCTGCAACTATTTTTTTTAATATTTATTTTTTAGTTGTAAGTGGACACAATATCTTTATTTCAGTTTTATGTGGTGCTGAGGATTGAACCCAGGGCTTCATGTGTGCTAGGAAAGCACTCTACCACTGAGCCACAACCCCAGCATCCCCGCTCTGCAACTATTAAGAACAAAAAGATATCTATTATATACTACAGAGAAACAACATATGTTACCTGTCATTTTGGCAAAAAAGAAAAAATACGTAAGCAAAATTAGGTATTTGAAAGTATATGGAAAAAAATATAGAAGGATGGGAAACCAAACTGTTGATACTGGTTAAATTAATAGTTACTGAAACTGGGAAGGGGACAAAAGAGGAACTTAAATTTTTTACCTAATACATATTATTCCAATTTAGGTTTTTCTTACACGAGCATGTATTACTTCCACCGTTTATAATTCTACTTTGAATTGGTAAGTAATAATTTACAGCACTTAGATTAATACACACTCTTTTCTGATAAGAACCCTGTCTCGATCTTCTCTAAGAGAGAATGTAGTTGGGAGGATGGTCTTAGTTCCTTTATATCACATATACCTCCAGAATTCTTGAGGCAGTCCTGTTCTTTGTTAATGTCATAAATGCTAAGTGAAAAATAAAACAATTCATAAAGTGAATGACTCTATGATATAAACAAATGTTAAACAAGCATCTAATTTGCAAGAGGAATAAGTCTATGGTTAATTTTACTTCCTTTGAGTAGTGCTTCTATAAATTTGCACTATAAAACAGTAGCATAGTTTGAAATAATTTTCCTCCAAGAGACTAACTTTTAATGAAAAATTTGTACACAGAAATAGATTCCTGTGCTTACAGGAATCACTTTCGCCTCACTGGTGGGGAAAAAACTTTTAAAATGAAAAGCAGATCACAGAACCACATCTTTATTTTATTAAAAATAACAAAAGCAGGGCTGGGGTTGTAGCTCAGTGGTAGAGCTAAGCACTCTATCGCTTGCTTAGCACCTATGAGGCATTGGGTTCAATCCCCAGCAACACATTAAAAGAGAGAGAGAGAGAGAGAGAGAGAGAGAGAGAGAGAGAGAGAGAGAAGATAGTAGAAACAGTGTGAGCAAATTTACAAAATATCAAAGTCAAGTAGAACACAATGGAAAAAATCATTCCCCCCCCAATCAGTGAATTTGTTAAACAAAACTATTAATGGTATTATGTATCCAGTACTATGATATATCTTTTATTTATCAAGACAGAGAAATGGTCCATTGTAAATAAACAGGTTAAAAGAGCTCAGACTACAAAAGACACATGATGCAAAGAGATCAGTATTGTAAATGCGTAGGAGTCTCTAGAACATAATATAGTGAATGCATAGTGGTATACAATCAATAATCTCATGGAGGCGGAGATAAGTCAGAAAGGTCTCATAGAAGTCATTAATACTTGAAATATGAGCTATTTAAGTGATAAGCCAAAAAGGGGATGGATGAGCTTCATATGACAAATGAGGGTAAGAAGAGAGGAGGGAAAAAAAAGAGCAAGGAGATATAAGGGTTTCAGTTTTTACCAAAGGCTTCATAGTATTGTGTTCTAAACAATTATTAGTTGAGGATTTCAATACACTTTACAAAAAGAGTAGCATGTACAACGTATCTTTTTTCCCAAAAAGATGATTAGTAGAATTGTGTGAATATATGGGAGATGTTTTAGAAATAGGTATATTGATGACATCAATTAAGCAAATAAGGATAAATTGCTTATGTCAAGAGAGGAAAATTAAACCGGAAATGAAGAGACTAGGATTCTAGTGTGGGGCTTACCTCTAATTTTATCTGGACCGTGGTGTGAAAATTATTGTTGGCTGACTTTCCAACAATCATGCCCTTTTTTCCTTCCCTTCCCCAAGACAATAATATTTCTAAGGTATGGGTGGATCCTGTGTTTTAGGAGAAGATTGAAAAAAGTTTAAACTCATTGTGGTAATTCTACTCCCTTTAGCTACAGACTGTTTTAGGAATAAACCAGTAACTCAATGCTAGACAATGGGATGTAAATGAACATCCACAGACAGAATTCTGGGGAAGCTTTCTTACAAAAGGGCAAGAGGAAAAGATGCATGTTCTCCCAGCTTCCACCATGTAGCCTCAGAACCTTATTTCAAGATGTGTTGCCCTGAATCTCTTTCAACCAAGTCAGGACTCATAAGCTAACACACTGAGGATATAAGTCAACAGATAATAACCTAGATCCTTGATGAAATCCTTAAGCCCCTGAATCAACTATCTGGAGTTGCTCTATCTTTGGACTTTTTGAAACATTACTGTTTATACAATTTTCATTTGTGGCTGGAGCACACTTAACTGATGGATTTTTAAAAAGTTATTTATATTCTCTAAGGCCTCATTAATTGTCATGACCTTTCCAAGGCTCCTTTCCATTCTACCACTATGACTCTATAAACTGCCCTACTAACAAAGGTTTGTTATGCC